TGTCATATGTAGGCAACTGCCCTGCTGATGCTTAATCGCCGTCTCGGGCCGAACTAAGGGATCTGTTCGTTGCTTGAGCAGGTATGCTCAGTTGGAGCGTATTAACGGAAAATGGGAGTATTGAAGTTAGTCCTGAGATAGAACATGTGCTTTAGGTAAGTCTTACTCCCGACGAATCAGCGCGACTCACTTGTCCCCTCGTACAAAGGGGAGAACTGGTGAATTCGCGTGATAGATGCCTAGACAATGGTGATAAGTGTGAGAGTAAATTTTCTTGAAAGGATTCTTGACACAGTACATGTGCTTCCACATGCCTGCGTTCAGCCATACTACTAGCAATCTGACCGGGAGCCCTTCTTCGAACGTAGGGACATTGCAAATCGTTTGAGAGGGATTATCGCCAATGGCCGGTTTGGATGTGTCACCAAACTCGGAACAGATCCTGTATATAAAATTCAATTGTACCTGATAAAGAACACTGAAAGGTCGGGGAAGCAGACCTGGATAATTGTTTGGGGAAATATCAATGATGGATTGGATGCCTAGGCCTGAAAAATGGTGAGTGTACATGACGACAATGTTGTTGTAACTTCCTGTGCGTAGGGTACATTGTTCGTAAAATTACTGGCTTCCAACACCAGAAGAAAAAAGAGGGTTTTCTGTACGGCAGTAAACCCTGCGGTTCAAAACGGCTCCGCGGAGCCAGCTCATAGGATGAAGCTTCCTTCCAATCCGACGACTTCGGGATTGTTGCGTGATCTTGAATCAAAGAAGGCTGGCGAAATGAGAATGAGTCGGACTGGCATAGTATGTCATTTAAGTATACATACATTGGCACATAGTGGCATCATGGGGTAGATAGCCCCTCCGCCAATGAGCGTTCCCCGATTAGCGAGGCTCCCGCCGCGATTATTCACCGTGACGTGAGGCTTCCCCCAGTGCTGAAGCATAAAGTAAACGTAAAGGCACAAACCTTGCAATTTACCACGCTTTAAGCTTTATGTAAGTGGGTAATTATATCCTTATGATGGTCTGAGTTTGGAAGCTTGGGGCCCGGCGAGGTTGCATGACACTGGCAGTAGTATGACACTAATATTAGCTAGCGGGAGAGATCTAATCGGATGAGCCTGAGCAGTGCAGTCGATAGCGCTGTTGTGCATGTCGTATACCGATATCAGCGGTGCCTACGCGCGAGCGTTTGACGTTCTGCGTTCAAGTCCTGCAGTGATACAGGTTTCGGTAAGCTTTCAGTACCATATGATGCTATCACATACCACAAAACACATCAGGGAAACCCTGAGCGGCGTTTTACAAATATACGCTCGTTGCAGCTCGCCCTGCATTGTCATAGTATATAATAGGCGAGGTAGAATGTCAGGGCAACTTGAACAGTGACCGAGAAGACGATGAAGGGGTGGGAGTAAAAACGACTTCCTTGTAAATCGCAAGCTTCAAACCTTCATGCACCCTGATCCAGCATGTCGACGCGATTGGAATTCGCGTGGCCAGAGCTATGTACTTGTCAAGGGTGTTGAACTTCTGACTGTGGCAGTGTCCACAGGAAAAACGTGACTAGCGGTCATGTGACCCACTCAGTACAGTGGTGGCGCGCCCGCCGCCCACGAGACGACGAGAACCAAGTCCGAACCGGAACAACTGAGAGAGGAACTCTCAAAGTGTTATAACATCCGAGTCCCATCATGCCTACAAAACCGCTCTTACCGAAATCTATAGTAGGCGTTTCCAAGGAGCCTGAGCCGAAAACTCGCGGTGCAAACAGGTCCACGAAGGTCGCCGGCAAACTCAAGGTCCTACCAGACCAACCAACATCGTCTACCCAAAGCAAAATTTTGCCACGTCCAGATGCTGAGGAAAGTCTAGGCACAACAGGAGATACGGATGACGGGGATGATGAGGACGAGGATGAGTCAGATGAGGACGAAGACGAGGATGTCGAAATACGACTACGTCAAATCTCCCAAATTCCGCAGGGAACGGCACGAAGAGATGCACTGAGGCTGACAAAGAAAAAGGCGAAGTCATTACCTCGTGTAACGGCATATGCGACGGCAAGGTAGTTCTTTGTTGGCTTCTTGGTTGACTATGTGACTGACAGGCTTTGTCTCGATTTAGTTCCTATCGTCTGCATGAACTTTCGAAGTTTTTCAATGCCCGGAGGGCATCCTATCTTGCAGACCCCAAGATTATTGACGATGTTTTGTATACTCCTTACGCGTATGAACCCCAAGTCAACCAAGAAACAAATGCGAAATCCCTGCCGGCAAGTGGGGATTTGTTAGGAATCCCTGAACTAAATCCCCTGGTCTCTGAAGCGGAAGACCATGGGCTCACCTCTAATCGCAAGAAGATCAGCAAATTTCACACTGTTCCAACCGAGGCCGAGATTTTCATTTTCGCCTACGGAACAGTCGTCATATGGGGAATGAGTGAAGCCCAAGAGAAACGTTTCTTGTCCTCTATGTGAGTGCTTTCTTTTGTTACAATCAGCATCGACGAACTGTTCGTAGCAAGCGTTTTGAAGTTGAAAGATTGGGTATGTGAGGGCGTTTGTATTCCCTTCAGAAGTCTGAATCGCTTGCAGCACCAGACGACATTGAAATGGAGGATCTGAATTATTATTATGCAAACTACAGTCGGTACGTTTAGTCACTTGCCGAAATCGCTGCTTTTTACTCATGACACAGGATATACAATGATGTCATCACCTTGCGCAAGGGATCTGGTTACATGTGAGTCAAGCATAAAAGGAGTCTCTATGATACTCAAACACATCAAGGACAAAGCTCTCTCTATCGCACGCACTGTCTCAGTCTGTCAAGATATCCTTGGTACGCTGACTTGATTATGCGGCATAATCTCTTCCTGAGGGCGGCTCAGTTCGAGGAGCTTATCTCGAATACTATCGAAGACACGAAAGATATACCCGAAACATTGTCAGAGACAGGCAAGATCGGCATACCCCATAAAGGTCGGTCAAGAAGATGTCGCATTGCAAACCATCTAATATATACTCTCTAGAAATTATGCGCAAAACCGGGGAGTTGTTCATATTACGGACTAATATTAACTCTGTAGGCTCTGTCTTAGACTCTCCGGTAAGAAAATATTTGTCTAGAGTACATTAAATTCACCCCTGTCCCCGTTCTAGGAAGTATTCTGGGTAAGCCGGGTTGTCCACATCAAGTGCCGGCATTTTTGACACCTTTTCAGAGCTTTCCCGATCTCCAACCGTTGTATGATGCTGCGCGGAGTTATCTGGAGATCCCTCAGCGAATCAATCTCCTAAATACACGAGTCGAGGCTAGTTTGGTTGATGTAGCGTGCCTTCATTCGCTGATTTCATGGACAGGTTCTTCAAGATATGCTCCAACTTCTCAAGGAGTCTGTATCAAGTAGGCATGCAGAACGACTTGAACAGATTGTCGTTGCTCTTATTGGGATTGAAATCGGTAATTTTATCTTTCTTTTTGTTTGTTCAACGATGAGCTCATGTTGGTGCGATCTAGTACTTGGCATTATCACCATTCTCGTGGATCTCATGGCTTGATTTCTTGTATTCAATTCATATACCTCGCATGCTTAACTACGGCGCAACCTGTATTTATAGAAGGTAAACTTTCCCCTCGCTGAGTCAGTCAGATCGCATTCATCGGCACTGGTAGCATGGGCAATCACTTAACTATACTGCTGGCTAGTACGGGCGGGAAAATGTCAAGACCGCCCAAGATCGGGTCGAACAGAGACATACAACTTTCATGAAATATACAACAATCCTTACTGGAGCCAGTCCCGTCTTTGCTTCCTCGGCGTCTCACGAAAACCTTCTTACCTCGTTATCAAGGGTTTGAAACAAAAATGGTATCTTGCCTGTATAACGTCAAATTGCATACCCAACATGGGAATGTCCGGGTATCAATCTGGACTCCTTGCAATCTTGGAGGCAATAGGATTGGGCTCAGCAAGTCACTCGCCTTCTAGTTGGCTTGGATGATTGGATGATAGCCAACTTCTAAATTCTTCATCGGGCTGGGCTTCGACACGTGCCTTCATAAAGAACCTGGTTTCTCACTTTGCCTGATTTCCAAAATCTAGGACGTCGATGACACGCACAAGTACGCAACATCTGCCTCCGTCTCACATGCACGCAATTACTGCCAATTGCAAATCGGATGCATTATATGCATGCCCTTGCGAGATTACAGACTCGTCTGAACAGGATTTTTATGTTGCCATGTATGGTGCACTCCTCGCTTGCTGTGCCAAGGCTTGGATATCATCCGTTGAGCAAAGGGCGTTAAGTTCTTCAAGTGCATCAGGATTTGTCTCGAGGGCTGTAGCATCGCGATTGTCGATGTCTTATTTGAGCCAGAGCGAGACGAGTGCTGCGCTGCGCAGAGGTCTCAGGAGTCTTGGGGCGCCAGAGGCATACACGCATGTGGTACAAAGCCAGCATCATGATCGAGCAGGCAGCGCATCCTCATCCTCTTCAGAGTGCAAGGCTGGCGGGTGAAATGGACGTATGGACATGGTATACGGGCCTGGAAGTGATTCATCCTCGCTGACATTCAGAAGTTTCTCAACGTCTCCTCTGCTGTACCAGCATGCTGTCGGTAGTTTTTCACGATACTCCTCGTCTGACTCAGATGTATTCGTGCGGATTTAGCCACGATATATCTGACATCTGATGGTGCTTTGCGAGACATGATACTTAAATATACAAAATCCAGGATCATCTTCTATTTGCTCTCGCAATCCAGTCAGGAAACGAGCGGCCACAATTAGTTGTACAACCCGGAATATACGAGGGATGGTATAAGGTTTGCAATCTCTTCTGAGACGTCGAGGATGAGATTGTGCAATTTTCGGTTATATCGCTGCTTTCAAGACAGAATAACGGGTCCGAGTAGGGCTGGTGTGGTGGCAGTAGTAACCCAAAATATTACAGACCCTGCCTTATCAGGCACACCACTTTGGGAAGGTCCGAGCTCCATTGTTGCTCCAAATTCCAATGACCACCTCGCCTTGACATGTTGTTCTGCGCGCTCTATGCTCCAGTTCAATTCATCAAATATCTGATCGCCTTATGGCCGAATTTTTGCGGCGTCTTGTTTCGGGTGGCAAAGCTAGGTTCAAGGATCCGAATCTTGACCTTGAGCTAGGTATGATACTGTATCATGTGCTTCATTGATTATCGAGCTCACTGTGATGCTTTATCATATTCTAGACCTCGCATATGTAACCGATCAAGTCATTGTGATGGGCTATCCTGCTGCTGGTATTGAGGGCTTCTACCGAAACCGTCGCGAAGATGCTCAACGTTTTCTTACTGCTCGGCATGGTAGCGACTTTTGGGTATTCAACTTTTGCCCAGTCAGGGAGAACTTTTATGACAAGAGCGTTTTTGGAGGACGAGTGAGTCGCTACCCCTTTCCAGATCATCAGTAAGGAACAGCCATATGATGTTGGTTTGTAATCGCTAATCACTAAATCCAGTACGCCTCCCCTTGCCATTCTCCCCCTGGTTTCGAGAGAGATGCATGCCTGGGTAACAGTTTCAAAGGATCGAGTAGCTGCTTTGCATTGCAAAGGTGCAGCTTGCCCTCCATTCCCTCTGTACATCCACTAACTCTATTCTCATGCAGCTGGGAAGGGAAGGTCGGGCATGATAGTCTGTGCTTATCTTCTTTCACTCGACACCTTTTCTCCTCCTTTTGCGGAAAACAGTTACCTTGAAAAGGACTGGGTAGCTGTACGCGTTGATGATTGCATGCAAGTAATCCCCAACGATGCTGTCCTTGAAGAACTAGGGGAAGCGGCCGTCCCTGCATCATCCATTGTGGAAGAAACATTCGCGGAGTCCCGAGACGAAAATCAAAGTATACCCACCAAACCCTCTGCGCCCACGTTACAACAGGTATTAGACTTGCACACCTCGCGCCGGATGAAAGTGCCGTCTATTTCAACGAACGCGAAGTCGAGGGCAGGTGTTAGTATTCCTAGCCAGCGGCGCTGGCTTCTATACTGGTCACGACTTCTTGCTGGCCAGGGTCCACCTGGCATGTGGGGACTATCAGACATGAAACCGGGCTTGCGCAATGACTCTAACTCATCATCGATTCTCGCGAGGAAAGTGCGCATCACCGAAATTTCGCTTCGACTGCGTGAGATATCTGGAATTAAAGCGGGTCTCGTTCGTGCAGCTAGCTTGCTAATGGATCGCGGAAAGGATGGAAATGGTCTTGTTGGTCCTCGCAATAACCGTGTGTGGGCGTCACTAGCACGCTATGACGATGACTTGGTTGACGCTCTAGAGCGTTGGGAGCAAAGTACTCGGGATAGCACCAACTTGGGAAGGCGAAAATCTGAGTCGTCCGAATCAGTCAGTGGTATCTTTGCCAGCGACAAATGGGACAAAGAAAAGATGGTACGGACTTTCGCTCGGATGGGAGATGATGGAAAGCGACCTTCTGAAATGAATAGCGCAGACGAGGTCCGTCAACTATATGATAAGCTGATCGCACCACCTAGAGAACTCACAAATGACAGAGCATCAAGGTTTATAGCTATGTTCTCGTTCCGCTGAATGAGGAGCGTTGGGTGGAAATTTCCAAAGCACCACTTCGACAGGAGGAAACTCGCGACTTAGAGCCTTCAGTCAAATCGGAGATGACTTCTATCGATTCTATATCCCAGTCAGCGACAAACACCAAGGTCGGTCGCAGCGGAATAGTAGTTGACGCCGACCGAGAGTTACGTATTAAACTCTACATGGGACAGGTATGTGCTTATTATTTGCTACGTGTCATTCCTCACGCCAAGCCTTGACAGGTATTTATGGCCTGGCTGTGGTTTATCCCAGCTTTTCACATCACTCCCGAGACACGATCCTCGTCGTTCATACTGCCCCGAGATGACCTCGATTTCCCGATTGGCATAGGCAAGGATATCATGGATGTGGAGTTGAAGATGGAATGGTGCCAAGACGAAATTGATGATACGCAAGTGGAAACTGCCCAGACAGACTCACCTTCGTCAGGGGTGGAGACTGTCGTAGCCAGCCTCGCTGGTGGCGTTGAAGTTAGCCAAGCTCTCGAAAGATAAGGAGATCAATTCGTACCATGGCACTTTACGCGCATCAGATGCCGGCGGCCGCCTTGCGGTGGATCTGGGGTCCTCCTGGGCAGTCATTTCCGTCGTCACTTTCTCCTCATCAAGTTGACAATTTCCTTCGTCGTATATTATCCTCGCGCCCACTGCCATCATACTACGGATGGTTTAATATAGGACAATGTAGGCTAATATTATGCTTTTTTATGTGCTCCTTGTGCACTGCGCCACGCTGAAGCGGCCCCGGACTTTGACAGTGAGAAAATATGAGATCTAGAAGTGAATTGTTTCCGGGCTATTTTCAGCATGAGCCTGGGTCATGCATCTCACTCCAGTACCGTGACAGTGAACTGTCAGCATTTGGCCTGGGTCAAATATTGCCTGTTGAAACTGGCCTCCCCCCTCCCCCCCCCCCCCCTATGCAGCTATGCTACCATTCGCGCTGAAAGTTGTGTGGTTTGCACTGTCGTTCTCTGGTGAGCAGATCCGGACATCAAAAACTCCCCCGGATTGACGTCATAGTGGCACAGGTATCTTTGCATGCTGGATTGTCCTGACAGTGTTCGCTCGCGCGATCCAGAGCTATTGGGGTCCAATGTTATACTGCATCTTTGCAACGATACTCCAGGGAATTTTTTGCCTGGGTGCGTTCGTGTTGTCGTGTGGCTGCCAAACAGCCGAGAGCCGGGAAAACTTTACTGACACCTTGAAGGCATGATATATAATATGAATCCGTATGATATGCCACCGGCTTTTTGCAAAGGTAAGCGTTTATAATGTATGATGTTGTCCTGTTACCCTGATATGATGTCTCGAACAGCTCAGACGTTCATCATATACTATTCTGCTCTCTCTGTGACTGGAGTATGTGCCGCCTTCACGATGGCGACGACACGCGCTGTGGTGTGGCCGTCTTCTGTTATAATGACTGCTTCTTCGTGCGTGGTTTGCATTAAATTTCCTTTTGTGTGCTTACAATGTGTGAGCAGGACGTTGGTATGGCGAAACCAATATCTCTTGCCCATCGTCGTGTTTCCGCTCGGTGCACTTGGTGTTGCCATTCCCGTCCTACTATCCCTTCACGCCATCCAACCCACAGATGATCTCCACTGCGACGCTACTCATCCCATATGGTGCGTCACTTGCATTACCAACGTTGTGAATGATGCAGCTCACATAAACAGGGGACGATTCTTAGGCTATGCGGGCATATCCATGATCCTCACGATTCCATGTTTCTTCCTGTCTGCAGCAGCAGCCCACTACGTATTCAAAGTGCACACGGTGCACCGAGAGCTTTTCAAGCTCACAGCTCCACCTTCGCATTATCTGTCAGCAGCTGAAATTAGGGAGGTCAACATCACTGAACCTTCCGAGCCAAAAAATGTGCCTTTGCCGGCTAAACCCGACTCGGATATGGGTCTCAAGTCCGCGGACTTCAGGAATAGAAACCATTTGATGGACGACCACTTGGCAAGGAGAGATATGATGCCTCGTGTTGATGAGATGGATAATGCCGCGGCTATGTCAAATCAGGTTTATTCCCCGCGGGCTGAAAGTTCTCCCTCTTCCTTATCCACACCGACTCGGACTTGGCCAAAGCGCTTGTCGGAGACATCGCAATGGGACGAATCTCAGATACGCGACCAGCGAGCGTGCATTGCCGTGCCCGATGAAGAATGTACGATGACGCTTCCGTTATCAAGTGAGTCGTTACCTGGCCTGGTACCCTGGTGTACGTATTTACATACTTTGCCTTCGAGCCCGTCATGGTCACGAACAGCCCAGACAGAGTCTTGCACCTGCGATATGGAGGCTCATTCTTTTCCAAATGTACGTGCATCAAAGAATAGGTCGAGTTTTTGGAGAGGTACTGACGTGAAACCCTCAGGGTGTTCTTTATCACTCAATTTCTGGCCGCACTTTCGACTATCATTGATGTAGCGAGCCATCGCCAATACCCATCGCCTTTTGGGACGCAACATGTAGCGTTAGTACTGGTGGGATGGGGACCGTCGATAGTGTTTGGTCAGTTCCAGCCTATTCCCATAAAAAAAACAGCCTGGCTTACTATTTCTTCAGGTCACCTTCCAGCAGTCCGCCGTAGATTGCAGTTCTGGCGACGTCCAGACTCGAGTACGAACTGCGGCTAATAATTGCCCCAAAAATGTGTATTATCGTATCGTGCCAGCATGCTATATCACAACAGTACGCTTTTCATCGATTTGCACGATCGACGACAGCTTGATGTTTGGCCAGCCTTGCATAGATTTGACGCAGTGCAAGTTCAGCTAACTTGTGCATGCTTTTGGGCCGAGTCTAACATGGAACGCACACTAGTATTGCCTTTTTCTGCGCGTGATACTCAGAGTTGACTCTAATGGAGAGCCACTAGTCTGTTGCGTTGTTTGTATATATAGGCTACCGCATTCGGCATGGCTCGTTCTCCGTAAGCCTTATGCTTCGGATCCATGGACATCAAAGTCAAGGAGACTAGGTCAAAACCAATTCTCTCTCAATGCAGTCGGACTGTTCGTAGCCTAGTCTCATGATGTGACTGAGTCAGAAACAGTAACTTGAAGGGATCGTGCTTCTGTAGTCTGACATACATGGACGCTAGGATTGTAGCATAGGGCCGCCCTATGCTACAATCATTGCGTCTATATATATGTGTGTGTATCGGCTTAGTTTCAATCGTGCAATGATGGATTCAAACAAGGCGGTGTAGCTTACTCAGCAATACGCCTTAAAATCATAATCATGCCTGTGTGCGATCAACAATAAAGGTATAACAAAGTATCGTACATTCCCCTTTCGTATTACCATCGCAAACATGACAAGGCGTAAAATGGGCCGTCCGTATCGTATGAAGAAAAATTAGGAGAAGAGGGTCAACATGCTTTCTATGGCACAGCCGGTATTGCGAACGAGAGAATATATGCAGAGTCAATGGGTGCGGGAATGTCGAATATAAAAGTTCTATCCTGAATGGACGTGCATCTAGGGCCGGTGAGCGTATTAACCAAGGAGACCCTCGCCGTCAGAGAGGCCTGCCGAGCTGTATCCGCTGCCACCGATCTCGTTGTATCGTGCAATGCGAAGGCGCTGGCTTGGAGGGATGACCTTATCTTCAAGGCCATGTGGAGCTCCGCCGTGAAGAACGCCGACACGCTTCATTGCAAGGAGCTGCACAAGGTATTAGTCAAGATATGATCGCGCGACAGCTAAAATATGCCTCACGTTATGTGCGGCGTTGCTATGGTCATAAACGCCTCCAAAGAATGTTGTAGTAGCGTCTCGGCCGATGTGCTTCGTCAACAAGTGACGGCCTCCTGGGTGATCGTCAAGGAAGTCTGAAACATCATGAATGAAGCCAGCAACGCAGATGACCGGACGACTCTTGGCTTGTTCAAGGTCTACGCGGAATGTATTAGAAGATACACCTGGCATACGCGGAAAGGTACGTACAGCTCTCCCAGGAAATGACGGGCAAGTCACTGTTATCAGAAGGCCATGACAGGGTTTCCTGGGTCTCGCGAAGACGTTTCAGTTGCATGGTAAGCTGACCTTTGCGGACCTCATTGTCAGGGAAGGACTAATAGATCTGGATGAATCAAGTATCCTAACGTATCTGCAATAGACACACCTTCAAATGGCTTGCGAAGCCAAGCTTCTGGCACGACCAAATGAACCACTTTGTAGGGTCATATTGGTACCACTTGATGGCGTTACGGTAGTCCATGGGGAATTGGTGGTGGAAGTTGTGGTATCCTTCACCGATTGTGACGAGGGCAGTTACGAAGTGATCACGAGGGCTGTGTTTGTCGTCGAATGGCGTTTCACCCAACCAGTGAGCGAGCGAATTCACGCAAAAAGTGGACTATATGCGCGAGATCAACGGTGTATCGGAACAAAAGGCAACAACAAACATACATGGTGAAGAAAGCAAAGACGCAGAAGACCGGCGTATACGTAGCCACCTTGCCAATCGCCCCAACCAAGGCCAGCCACAACAGTGGGGAAGAGGAAGCCCATGATCACGACAAGGCTCAGGTAGTATTTGTGCTGCCACCTCACGATCTCGTTCTTTGTCAAGTCGCTAACATCAGCAACGCCAGGCTTGCGACGGGGCTTGACAACCATCCATCCAATGTGCGACCATAGAAGACCGCGATGTGCGTTGTATGGGTCAAGGTCGGTATCGGTGTAACGATGGTGAGCACGATGTCCTCGTGACCACCATTTGATAGAGCCTTCAACCGCACCTGCGCCAACGAATGCAAGAAAATATTGAAGGGGCTTCGACGCGTTGTAAGAACGATGTGACCATAGCCGATGATAACCTGCAGTGATGCCTGAAAACATGATGAGACAACAGGCTTTCAAAGGTAAATGCCAAAGCTTACCGAGGCCGGTCATGTAGTAGTATACCACTGACCAAACGGCGGTTTCCCATCGAAGGCGAGTGTAGTACGCGCCGACGAGACCTATAACGGGCGTGCCGGCGAGAATTGCAACGTTTAACCAGTTTAACTTTGTGTACCAGTTGTCCCAAGTGATCGGAGGAAGAGACTTTTGTTGCTTGAGAGTGTACGACACGTAGTTATCGGGAATGTTAGCATCCGCAGGGACGTGCTCGGGATCGTCAATGAACTTCTTTGAGGGCTGCGAGTTAGGGTCGTCATTAAGCTTCGGAGTAATAGGGGGAGTGAGAGTCTCCACCGACGGAGGTGTCGAGCAAACTGGAGGGACGGATGACATGAGAGGTGGTCAAGAAGAAAAAGACGAAGTGACGAAAGAGCATTTGAGGTGCTTTCTGGGAACCACATATATAGCTAGAGTCGGCTCACGCCCCTTTTTAGTCGTTATTGTGCTAACGTAGATGTACGCTAAAACAGAAACTAGCCATCAGTGAACTGGTGCAGAAATGAGAAAGGTATATATGACATTATATAGTAGATAATCACAAGAACCTCCATAATTATGCTATCGAGGATTACATTGTCATGTTTGGCCATATAAAGGAAAGGATATTCCCTGATTTTCCTACAAAATTTTACGATCGGAAAAAGGTTCGAACATATCTCGAACTCAAGGTATAAGTGAAAGTGGGACAAAAGCCGACAGTCAAACTAGATGAATCAACAACGCCACATCAGAAGGAGGGACTACCGTGTCGAAGCTAAGAGTGAAGGTTAGTAACTTGGAGAGGATGAGAATATGATCTCCCGAGGGAGCGACCATAAATTTCGCGACCTGCGTCGAACATCAGCACCCTCTTGTGAGATGTCTGATGTCAGAGGGGAGGCTCACGGTCCCGAAGCTAAGAGCGAAGGTCAGTAAGTTGTAAAGGATGAAGACGTGATCTCCCGAGGGGGCAACAATAAGTTTCGCGACCTGCGTCGAACATCAACACCCTCTTGTGAGGTGCCTGATGTCAGAAGGGAAGTCCACGGTCCCGAAGCTAAGAGCGAAGGTTAGTAAGTTGCAGAGTATGAAGACATGATCTCCAGATGTCGGAAATTTCCAGGGGTGCCTTGCAAGCGTTCCATATTGGGACGCTATTTGGACCACATTGGAACTAAATTCCCAGGGAGCGTGACTTATTTTACTCACTTGCAAGCAGGCTCTTAGTACTTACAAGCGATTCTAATGGTGCCGGGTGATTATTGATAATTGCAACCGCAATTCATTATGTCAGATTATTATGATAATCTTTCGTCGACGTCGTTGCTTCTCATTGATCCGACTCCTCCCATCATCGTGTTTGAATCTTTAGCTGCGTCTCTTAGGCTGTATATCTTTAATTTGTACTACTCTTGTGGCATGGCCCCCAACCGAAACACGACGAACCGGGGACGTAAATATATTGCTTCAACATCATCCAACAACCAAGTGGATTGTCAGTACTGTAACAAGTCATACTCGGCGCGCGGGATCAAATCTCACGAACAAGGGTGTCTGAGAAGACGGGATAAGAAGAATGATGACAAGGATTTCGCGGCACTTGCAGCGCGTGCAGTAGAGGAGGAGCTGCAAAGGAAAGGTAAGCGTCGATTAAATTCTGTCTTCATTGACATATCGTCTTGTTGATATCAGTGTACTAATTAATAATACTTTTCGCATCATTTTTAGAAGCACATCGAGAGAAAAGACGGCATCGTAAGGAGCAAACAATGGCTTCTGCTGTTGTTGCTGCTGCAGCGCCGTCGGTCCCTTTGAGAATGGTCCCGGATGGCACAAAGAACTCGTCGCCTGAGCAAGATCAACAGCCTGACGACTTCACTGCAGGTCCATTGTTTGAAGGGAATTCAGATGTTGCCGATGCAATGAGCATCAGTAGAGATTCAGATGCACGTCAACGTATGTATTATTTTGACTCGTGATGCGCTCCCTTTCTGAAATCTTAATTACAGGTTCAGAATCAGATACAAGCATGGGCATCCCCGCATGTACCACCCTATCATCGCTCCCAATCATGCCTTTAGCTCCTCCTAATCTCGATACTTTCAAGACGGAATACCACCCACACAGCGGCCGTGCGACTTCTGTAGAGTTGTTCTCCACTTTTGGACGCAAGGAGCATCAGCTGCCGCCTATCGTCGACAACGAACCCTGGCAGCCTTTTGCTTGTCGTGCGGACTTTGAGTTCGCCGAACTCGCACACCAGGCTGCCTTGAACAAGAATCAAACAGACGAGCTGTTGCGGCTCATCTGGAGAATTGCTGACGGCCAAGTGAAATTCACGTTCAAGTCCCATGGTGATGTTTCAAAAGCCTGGGACAGGGCTGCCAGTCAAATGTCACCTGTGAGAGAAGAACACGATTTTCTTTTTTTACAGTCGTATTAGACATTCCTTTGATAGTTCGAGAAGCATACCATTACTGTTGAGCACAAGCGGGAGGACCTCAAGTACAACATATACACACGGCCATTGTGGGACTGGGCCTTGGACTTGCTACAGGACCCGCTACTGGCACCCCATTTTGTTTGGGATGCACAGCGATTGTACAAGCACAACGGGATGCGTTACGAGTGCTTTGTACATGAACCTTGGACTGGAGACCGTTGGTGGAACGTTCAAGTATGCTATATTTTTTGTATTATTGTTCATTTGTGATTCTACTAAGTGATACCCTTTATATATTGAATTCACAGTCGTCTTTACCTGAAAATGGCGTCCCATTCGCATTTATATTGTATGCGGACAAAACTCATCTATCTTCTGCCGGTACAGTCAAAGCCTACCCTGTCTTCGTGCGATGCGGAAACTTGCCTGTCAATATCAGGAACACGGATGGACTTGGCGGTGGGCGAATGGTTGGCTGGCTACCAATAGTAAGTGAAATTAGTGTTAGTTCTGAGTTTCGCGCGAAACAGTTCTTTTGCGCAGGTTCCTGACGATTCTGAGGAAGACGGAAAGCTCTCATATGTCAATCTCAAATGTGTCGTATGGCACAAGGCATTCTTCAAGCTGCTCGAAACCATCATCATCTATGCCAAGGCAGGGTATGCATATACATGCTATGACGGCGTCATGAGATGGTTGTATGCATTCATCTTGCTCTTATCGGCTGATTATGAGGAGCAGTAACGTCGTTTCATACTTTTTTCTGATGGTTTTCTAATCTAATCTTAGGTGCGTGATGGCACTGATACGGGGAACCAATTGTCACTGTCCCTGTCCTATCTGCCTCGTCCCTTCAGACAAGCTCTACGATAACGCTTCCACTTATCCGACTCGATCATCTGATGACACGAAAGCTTTGGTGGAGCTATGGACTAGGGACCGTGTAGCTGGAGAAAGCGCACTCAAAAAACAGGGCCTACGGCCTATTAAGGTCAGCACTTGCAATCAAATGTACCAATTATTGTCCCCCATTAATCATGTCTTACAGAACGTCTTCTGGAAAGTCCCAAATTCTGATCCTCATGACACGATTTCGCAGGACCATTTGCATGTATATCATATGGGTCAGTGGAAACATCTCTTCGGCGAGCTCAAACAACGCATTGCAGCCCTTGGACGCAGCAACGAGAAGAAACTGGATGATCAGTGAGTTGTAATTGTTCAGACTACATGTTAGCAACCCTATTTAATTGCTCGCAGGTTCGATACCTTCCCGCGATGGCGCAATCTTAATCACTTTGATCGGGTTACTAATATTACTTACAGCGACGGTAACAAACTTCGGGATATCTCCAGGGTATGATATGACTTCGTGGCTACCAGTTCTCATGTTAACGAATTACTCTTCTCATAGCAAGTTTTGTATGCCGCACAGAACATACTCACACGCGCAGCGGATGAAGCTGGCTATGCACTACTACGGTGTATAGCGAGCTACCTACATATCGACATGTATATTTCACTTGACGTGCAGACTGAAAGCACGATTGCTGCGGGAAGGGCAGAGGTGTTAGAGTTTCAGAAGCGCTTAGAGGTACGTCATAGCAGTTCTGCAAATTGTCGTTAGTATTAATTCACTTATCATTGATATCTCAGGACTACATAAAAATCGTCGAGGAGACTGATCCAGACACGATCAAGAACTGGAACTTTCCAAAGATTCACTCTGGAAAGCATATATTCGATGACATCATGGCGAAAGGTGCCGCTCGGAACTTCAGCACTCGACCAAATGAGAAGCAACATGGACCGATCAAACAGTGGTATCTACGGCAGACCAATCGTAAGGATATTGCTGATCAGGTACGTTCATGCTTTTTAATTCTAACTCTCAATGAGTCGCTCCATACCACTCATTTCGTGTAACATAGATCCTTGAGCTCGACCATAAGAGTGTCGTCTCTGAATTTATTCGCAGTCGTATCGAGTGCCTTGATGAGGAACGACGCAAACTCATGCTTTCGCAGGAAGAACTGGAGGACACGGACTTGGATGATGAGAAATTTGAAGAACATTTTCATATCGGTTCACCCCTCAAGAATCAAACAACCCTTTCGCAAGTGGAGGAAGAAAACAAGTCCATTCGTGCGTTTCACCAGTTCCGGAAAAAACTCGCAACATTTCTCAACCATTTCCTTCCCTCTCACAACATACCGCTGCCGGAAGGAACAACGTGGTTGAAACTTTCAGCACAAGACCAGGTAAATTGACTTTCCTCGCTTTTACTCGAATCTGACTTTGTATGTCGAAAGATCCATGAATATCGATACTTGAAAGTGCATTATGAGTCTACCGCTGACTGGAAGCTAGCTACTGACTACCTGCGATGCAACCCAAGCTTCCATGGCAAAGAACGGCGTGACTGCGCTCTAATACGCACACTGGACAAGGACGGCCGCGACAAAAATATATTTGTGAAGATATTATGCATGTTTAAGCACACTGTTGGCAGCTGTACCTTAGATCTCGCGCTCGTTCTACCTATGGATGCCTTAATTGGCCCACGTCGGCGTATGGATCGAGAACTGCGACTAACTCGACTTCGCGCACGGCCCGCTTCTTCATCTGAGTTTATTATGCTTCATTCCATCATTCGTGGTGCTCTTCTCGTTCCAGATTTTGCTCATGATGGAGATTATTTTCTTGTGGATACTGTGGATACTGACATGTTTCTTCGTACTGTACATTCACTACAGTTACATTAGTAATAACGGTTCATTGACATTACCTATCTCTTTTAAACTTGTCCAGAGTACCCTCCTTCCTCTTCTAACTCTCAAGTAAGGCTCCCCCATTTCATCGCATATGCGTCTCACCACACTGACAAACTTTAATCCATGACCTTTCCAGCTTCTCAAAGCACACTTCCCCACTGCTTGGGGATCTTCGGGTCACCGTCTTTTCATATCCGCTTTCATGCTCGCATCCAAGGTCATCTGTGACAACACTTACTCCAACAAATCCTGGAGTATTGTAGCCCAGGGTATGTTCCAATTGCGAGAAATCAATCAGATGGAGCGCAAGATGTATCAGTATCTGGAGTGGGAACTCAATGTGGATCCGGTAACGCTTAGGGAGTTCGAAGACATGGTCAAGAAAGATTTCGCAGGTCAAGGACCTTACCTGACTTATATCCTTCCCTCCTCATCCAAGACAACCCCTCCACCTACCACAAATCCCTTCCCGCCTCCTCCAGCCGCATTGGCCCCCATGCCTTCATATGGCCATTGGTATCCATCACCTACTGCACCAAACTCCAATACATGACTTTCGCTACTCTCGTCCTATTCTAGCGACTCAAGGCACACATATTTCGCCATTATGTGCTCAGCTCATCACGCATCTCTTTACTTGTTCAGAGTACCCTCCTTCTTCTTCTAACTCCCAAGTAAAGCTTCCCCATTTCATCGCATACGCGCTAAGCTCATTATGCATCTTTTTGCTTGTCCAGATCTTCGGCTCATTATTTTCTCATGTTCGACGGCTCACCTATCTGCCCACACTGAACCGCTTTACAGCCATTAATCGAGAGCCAGCTTTTTGGGTATGTACGCTCCATTATTATTACACTGCCTCCTACTAATAATCTCTTCCCATTGCCTCCTGTTGATGCTCGGGAATCTTCGGGGTACTTAATAGACTATCAATCGTTCATCTCCGCTTTCTGCATGGGGACATGACACAATTATTGTCAATGCATTATGTATTTAAGTAAGTCGTGATGATGCTCTGTTTAATTTGTGCGTGTGATATTGATGTGATGCTGCCGCCTTATTACATCCACAGGGTCTCATTCTGATATTCGTCTGAACAACGCTGCAACCTTTATCAGAACCATCAATGCGCATCATTACATATATTCAACGAGTCTAAGGTGCGTATCAATTTGTTAGTTAATGTCATGACATGTCGTCGCCGCCCCAATAGCACATGCTAGGGTCAATTTAAAGCTCGTGCGATTGACTAACACTCCAGTTTTCTGTTCTCGACGTTTGCTTGACTGTTTCACTAATACTAATACTATGCCTCCAATTCAGCGCAACCAAGGCGAAGACTTCACTCAAGCAATCAATGACGTCGACAGTGACTCCACCCGCAACTCAGATGGAACTGATAGCCTTAGCGACTCAGATTTGGACGATGATGCAGACTTGATGCGGATTCGCGACACCATTGCTGCCCCAACCGCTAACATGTCAACTCAAGATCTTCGCAAGGTAACTGTCGTTTTGCTACACACAGACAATGTTTGTAGTAATAACTAATAATCGTATCTACTAACAGGCACTTGAAATCGCGCAAAAACTTCTTTTTGACATGCGTGGAAAGTACCGGGAATCATTGAAGAAGATTGCTTTACTCGAGGCTACCGTTTCGAAAGGTCGGAAGACAAAGCTTACAAAGAAAGATCTTGCCCTTGCCGCCAAGGAAGACAGCATCAGAAATTTTGGACGCAAGTTCTCTATCACCCACTGCTTATGGGTCGAAACGTCTATTTTCCCCTTGCGTGAGCCACCTCCCAGAATCGACCTCTCAAGCAAGGAGCGATGGCTCTCACCGCTATCCATCCAGGATGGCATTAAAGCTGAACTTTTCCAATTCATACCGCCAACTGACCATAATATGATGGCTCATAAAAACTTTGGCTCCCATGTAAGCCCTCCCATCTTTGATTGCGCTCGATGATAAACTTAGTCTGTCCAGTTTGTGAAAGGCGTCAATAATGTTCGTGCCGAAATGCTCTCAGATGTCAAGTCATGTGCGGCAGCCATTTTTGGCTTAGATGCCAAGTTTTTTATACGCGGTTATGCACGGGACACAGAGCCTTCTTGCAAATCTCTGCTCCTTAACCCCCAAGGCCAGTACACGAAGTTTGCGCCGATTCTTTTCCCTCGTCCGGACCATCTCCTCAGAGATCAGTTTTTGAAAACAGCAAAACTTGTTTATGTAGGTTCTTGCCTCCCCTCTCTAAATAGAACTAACTAAATAGCATTTATAGATTCTGAAAGCGTCACTCTTTGGCCGGTCGTCGCTCGCTGCCAATGCAGTTCCCACTCCGAAAACAAAGGCGAAAATATGGGAGCTACGTGCTGTAACACCGGGTCTCATTGCTGCAGCAGCCATTGTCGTACGTGTTGTCTCTTATGCTGCACAATATTGACACTTAATACGAGTTTCAGGCTATATTTGTCCTTTCCGGTGACAAAGAGTTGGTTGAAGTTGGCGACAAATCTCGCATACCATACAAAGACTACCATAACTACTACCGACAATCGCTGTTGACTGGAGGTGCCTGGGCAGACGGAGTCTTCACCTTTTTCAACAACTCCTTGTTTTCCACTTCTTCTGCCGCAACTCTCCTTGATTCAGACTCGACGTTACTAGGCGACTTGACGAGTGGTCCGCGTGACAGCTGGGAAGAAATGTTTGAGCATGCAATGGAGACTGGGGCGGAACTACCAGAACTGAATATGATTCAGACGTCGTCGGTTGGTCCTGTCATCGAAGCATCTTCTTCTGCACCCGGACCCCAGTCAATCTCTGCTGCCATGCAAGGTCTAGCTTTGGCCGAGCACCTACCACCTGCAGCAGTCGACAAGGACGTTGAAGCAGAGCCTGTAGCTCCTGTTGCTGCTCAGAAGCCGAAGCCGAAGCCGAAGCCAAGGCGGAAGGGCAAGGCTGCAGCTGCTGACAGTAACATTTCAGAAGATCAAGCTCCTGCCAATGTTGAACCTGAGGTTTCATCATTAGTAGTCAGTGGCAGTGGTGTGCGAAGGGGCCGATCAAAGACCACTAAGTAATATAATAGATTTTCTTCGTCTCATGTCACTCGTCGATGTACTTAGATTGTTCTTGATGTCATTGGATTAGTAATACAATCAACAACAACAAACATTTGATGTGAAAGACTTGGAAGTCTTTCGTTCAACTTGTCATATCATTTCAACTATAAACAAAATTAAGTCTTGTCGTTGTCGACTGTCTCATGTCCTGCCAACCTCCACTCCCGTCGTCTCCTTGAACTTGTTGTGCCGCCGATGCCTGCAGCCTCCAACCACTCCCGTCGTCTCCTTGAACTTGTTGTGCCGCCGATGCCTGCAGCCTCCAACCACTCCCGTCATCTCCTTGAACTTGCCGTGCTGCCGTTGACGCCTGCCTCCAACCACTCCCGTCTCCTTGAACTTGCCGTGCTGCCGTTGACGCCTGCCTCCAACCACTCCCGTCTCCTTGAACTTGCCGTGCTGCCGTTGACGCCTGCCTCCAACCACTCCCGTCTCCTTGAACTTGCCGTGCTGCCATTGACGCCTGCCTCCAACCACTCCCATCTCCTTGAACTTGCCGTGCTGCCGTTGATGCCTGCCTCCAACCACTCCCGTCTCCTTGAACTTGTCGTGCCGCCGATGCCTGCAGCCTCCAACCACTCCCGTCATCTCCTTGAACTTGTCGTGCTGCCATTGACGCCTGCCTCCAACCACTCCCGTCTCCTTGAACTTGCCGTGCTGCCATTGACGCCTGCCTCCAACCACTCCCATCTCCTTGAACTTGTCGTGCTGCCGTTGATGCCTGCCTCCAACCACTCCCTTCTCCTTGAACTTGTCGTGCTGCCGTTGATGCCTGCCTCCAACCACTCCCGTCTCCTTGGACTTGTCGTGCTGCCGTCGTGCCTGCCTCCAACCACTCCTGTCTCCTTGAACACGCTGCTAGGAATGGGATTTGGTCATCAACTGCCTCTCCGGGTCTCATCCATCCGTTTGTCCAAGGTTAGTAAGACTGATATCATATTCGTATTGTCTCCAACTCAAAAATTGTCCCCACCAGAATTATTATTTCAAAACGAAACGGGAGTGATTGAGGAACGCTTGGAACGCAATTGGAAGCAATTTTACAATATTATTATTAATAGTGCTATTATTATATTAAATAAAAGACTGCGTAATTTCAAGACCTTGGAAGGATACTTGTCGCTTCCAATGATATTCCAATTAGGGTATATAGAGCATTGGTCAAAATCTTGCCCTTGCATTGGAACGGTCTTGGGACCCACTTGCAAGACCCTCTATATTGCTTCTAAGCGGCTTCCAAAATTTTCGGGTTCCCTTCCAAGCGAGTTGTAATGCCGCCGGTAAATTGAGGCCTTCCAATCCATTTTAAGGCATGCCAACCAAAATTAGAAATTTCCGACAGAGGGGGCAACAATAAGTTTCGCGGCCTGCGTCGAACATCAGCACCCTCTTGTGAGATGCTTGATGTCAGAAGGGAGGTCCACGGTCCCGAAGCTAAGAGCAAAGGTTAGTAAGTTGCAGAGGATGAAGACGTGATCTCCCGAGGGGGCAACAATAAGTTTCGCGGCCTGCGTCGAACATCAGCACCCTCTTGTGAGATGCTTGATGTCAGAAGGGAGGTCCACGGTCCCGAAGCTAAGAGCGAAGGTTAGTAACTTGCAAAGGATGAGGATTTGTTCTCCTGAGGGAGGTATAGTAAGTTTCGTGACCTATTCCAGACTTCAACAGTATCTTTGGAAATGTCTGATTTCTCTCGATAGCATGTCAATTTCCATGGAATAATGAAGGCTAGTCACTTGCAGGCGGCGAGGAAGCGTTCTCCCGAGCGATTGAACATAAATCTATGTCCCACTTCAATTGTCAACGTCAATTCTTCAGATGTACAAGAATGTTCCACCGTAAATCAGTTAGGAAAGCGTGTGAAGAATATATACCTTGTTGCAGTAAGCCAAATATGCTCACCAAGCCGACGACAAATCAACTTGTCACATGGTTCAATATGACATCAGCAGACATCGAATACAACATATCTTATCAGTCGTTTTCGTCTTTTGAGTCCACATTTTCTGGGCAGTGTTTGCCGCAAGGACTACTAGAAAACACAGAACACCGTGGTCACTTGACATTCCCTTCATTCAGCCAATTCAAAACACGCAGGCGGATCCGGAAAATACTAGTTGGATCGTTTCCCGGAGATTATTCATATTTATCGATGAGGTCTACAAGTCTTCCGTTATTGCTGGATAATGGTAGCAGTGCGATATTGCTAATTCCTTCAGGATGTCTCACAAGGCAAATATGAAGCATGACAAATTGTGTTATTATTAACGCCAAAGTACAAGAGTAAGGTAGCTTGGAAACAACATTGTAATACAGTGTATGCCTAGTTTGAATCGAAAGCAGCGTCATCGAGTTGTGCCCTCTGCCTTGCGAGGGCATTGACGGACATGTTGGCCTTCACCATGTTACTAAGATCCTCACGGCGGCTCCTTCCAAAAACCTTTCTAAACAACATAACATTACTCTGGGCTGATTGAAATTACTGTAAATACCGCACCTTGTCCACCACTCAAGGAGTTTATTGACTCTGCATTGCGCTTCTCGACCAGGGGGCTTCTCGAAGAAGTCCACGATGGACCGCCAGAATTGAATATAGTCGAAGTCACCGTCAACGGACCGCCAAGAGGTAACTGAAGAAAGTGCAAATCGTACCTCCCAGTGTAATGGTCATTTACGCCACACTATCATGATGACTTACTTGACAGGCGACATATGCAATCGAGCGGGGTGTGACTTTATCCATCTTGATGATTTGCGCGACGTGTTTCTTGACTTTTATTGCGCAGGATGACTTTTTGGCGCGTCGGTTGTTGGCGATGACATCTGCGCCGTCACCGTCGCCCTCGACGTCTTTTGCTGAAGACGGAGATGTGAATATAGCTTTGTAGCCCTGCAGGCAACAGTGAGATTGTTTTCGGGCAACCGTGACTCGAGTGCCACGAACCTGCAGTAAAATTTTGCCCTTAAAAAGACCTTCTTCTAAATTGTCCGCGTTGGCGGTGTACTTGTCATACACAAAGGCCGGAAAAGAGAGGTCGGTCACAATGTAGCCCTCTGATCGATCTCGAATCCCTGCCTTAACTCTAGTAAACAAGTCAGTGTCATGCAGGATACTGAGTGCACTACATACACTGGGCTGTTCCAGTCAAGTTCAGCCGGACAGAGTAACCTCCCGCACGCGTCACTGGTGAATCTGCGGTAATTTTTATCGTCAGAATCAACGGGGGGGTTCGGCTTGAGCTCGCGATTGACCCAGTCTGAAATAAGAGTCTTGAGCTTCGCTGTATCATCGCCTCGGGCACCGTCAGCCCCCTGCCTGAGCTAGATAAAGATTCAATATGATAAAGCCAAGCATTAGTCGGAAAAGCATGCACACCGCCTTTAACATGCGCATGTAATCATCATGGTCTATGTCCGAAGAGTTCTTCAGAAACCACGGCAAGGTCCTCGTTAGGATATAGTACCCTGTCTGCAAACGATCTTGACTACATAAAACCAGTGAGGTTCACCGTAAAGCAAGGGGGGAAAGCTTACTCGATAGTAGCATCCTCGTCGCTGTCGTCATCATATCTCCTATCGTTTTCATTGACAAGATCCTCGATACTGTCGAATAAAGCCACAATACGCCTGAGGCCTCGTCCTTGGGCCAAATAGTAATTTGACTGCCTAACAAACGGTGAACAAGGCACACGCAATAGACACAAAATGACAGTACGTACCTCTCTTTTACCACACGCCCCGACTCCAAGACCACGAGTTTACTCTCCAGTTCGGCAATCTTCCGTCTCTGTCGAGCCTCCGCGAACGATGGCTGTACTTGGGATCCTAGTGGTTCAGAAGGCCGCCGAAGGCCATTGTCGCTCTGCCGATCCTCGGTTTGAATGACTGACTCGGACATACTACCCTCAGCAGTACAATATACGCTGCCCTCGGTGTGAGGAATGCTGTCCTCGGCGTACGACATGAAGAGGAAGACGGAAGAAGGTTCGCTGAAAAACACAAGGAATAAGTGGAAGTGCGAGATTATGAACAGAAACTTAATTCAGCCCCAGCCCATTTTATATGTTGGCCAACTGCCCGGGACCATGAGTGCTCCACGTGGCAGTTCAAGCAAAGTGGACAAATGTTACGGCCCTCGTATTCTAATGATAGATAATGATAGATCTGGAAGTGGCTGTGAAGACGCAAATTGGACAAAAAAGGAAAATGTACCCGCTTAGTACGCCAAAGATCGGTAGGTGAATGGAAAAGTGCACTAGTATACCTAGACGGTGGCGAAAAGGCACTAGTATTAGTGAGGTGATGGCAGATGTTGTGGAACCTGGTGCAAGGTTAGAGGGATGATGTCACGAGACAAATTGGCACGAACTTGCTCCGGACAGTAAAACTTCTATGTTTGGTGCCATCAGTGCCAGATCGTAGCCACGGTATATTAGTGTATTATGAATCTGTACGGAACAAATAGTTAACTTGAGTCTGGCGCCACTGGCAATACGACGGTTCAGACATTCATTCAATGGCTCTGTCTGTAATGCTAAATGCAGGATCGACCTCCTCGATGACTCGGAAATCTGAAACCGCAGATGGTGTGGTTGGAGGGCGGATGCTAGTATTTGCAGCTAACGTACTGGCTGATGCAGACCGATGAATGAGCCAGCCAGAGGAACGAAGTTCATCATCTTTGATGAAGTCGTTATATATCGTACTCGTACTTCGAGACTTTGCGGCACGGGACATGGACGCGGTTTGGACTTCGGTATAGTGTTCCTGCGCCACGAGAGAGTAACGGAAAAGGATTTGGTGGTGCTCGTAGGCGATTGCAACGATGGCGAGTAATTTCATCAGTTGGAACTTGATTGCGAGCGCTTGGCACAATCCGGAGTTTTCCCTGATGATTGGGTCTAGGCCTCAGCTTAGTAATGCATACAGGTGCCTAGGCCACCGCTGACTTCACCATGACTAGCAGAACCCCCATAACCCCACTTCCGCCGCCGAGTCGTCACGATGGGGTCGGGGAATATTTGCAATCGCAGCTGGACTTGCTCACGATGAGCACACCCATTTGAGATTTAGCATGGATGCACTTTGGAGGATGCGGATGCAGAAGCCTGAGTCCGAGACTATGATTAGTAAGTAGTACTACTACATCCGAGTCATGATGGCAGATCATTCATGTTGACTTCGCTGGTGAGCCAGGCTGCCTTGAAACGGTTGCTTACTATTGCTTGATGTGCTACGAGGGGAGTGGAGTCTGCGAAAACGCGAACGAAGCTGTTGGCGTGACGTGCATTAATCTTTCGCAGACTCGACTAGTGATCTAACTAGACAAACATAGTATTGTAAATGATATGTTCAATGAAGACTAGATGCGAGTAGCATCGATACGAATTTTCTTCAGTTGGGGGGTGGGGTTTTGGCTGTGGTCTGTTTCAACTTTTGCCGGGCAGTGCAGACAAAGATATCCGCAGGGTCGACGAGAAGATGAGTGAGGAATTTGTCTAGAGCGAGCGAAAGACGAGATCAAATGCACACAAGTAAAGGCGCGGAAAGAGAGATAATCGTCCAAAGCTGGCGAAAGATGAGATCGAATGCGCGTGAGAAAAAGTGCGCGAAAAGAATCGACCTCAGGCTGGGGAAAGACACAGCCAGAAACCCTCGAGTGTGAAGCAGAGGTATTTGGGAAGTGGTGAGTGGGTAAGAGATCTAGGCGAGCAAACGCAAGATGAAAACGAGATGAAAACGAGATGAGAACGAGATGAAAACGAGATGAAAGACGCGTGTTGGCAAAACAGCGTCTAAGTTACGATACGCGTTCGCTCGCTTAGTAAGCACTTGTTTGATCGCAGGCTCACGTAGAACTAAAACGGCACGCATCATAAATAAATAAATATATATGTGGCACGTAGTACTGCATATGATGTATTGTATGGTACTCTACGTATGGACAGATAGTACTATGTAGTACGACAATGGTAGCATTGATATCAATCTAAAGTAGTACAGCCCGAGACAGACTCGGACTCCCCAATATCAGATTCACAAAGAATCGATCCATCTTTAGAAGAATCACTTTCACACCAATCCGCATGGTCGCTAGGGTCGAACCTACATCCTTTGTTCCCTATCTCCGTCACTCCCGCATCCTCGAGTGTGTTTCGGAGAGAGCCAATTTGCAGATCGATTTTTTTCATATGTGTTTGGACTAGTTCTTTCTCATCATTCAGGAGGGACTTTATCAGGTCCAGTTCATGGTCACGAAGGCGTTGGTATCGTATTCTCGCGGAAAAAGCTCGGCGAGTGATACGGGAAAGCTCAAGCATGCGTTCGTTGAAATATATTGAAGTCTCGGAAGGTTGGTCGGTGCAATTCCACTTAAAAGAATCGGATTTCAAATGATGATTTAAACAAGTTTGTGACTCACGGTTGTTTGCAATGTCTTGAATCTCTTTGAGGGTATTTCGAGATCCTCGTCGCAGTCGCCACCTTGAGACAAGGTATAGTTGACATGAGAGCGCTTACGGCGCTTGGGTTTCGTGGTTACAACGGACTTGGTACCCTTGTCACAGGCAAGGGCAGGCGGGCTATTACGCAAGTCGGTGACCGTTGGGTCAAAGCTGTCCCGCAACACGGGAGAGCTGCTCCTGATAGGAGAGCTACTCGGATCGACAGAGGTGGGAGGTGTCACGGTGGATGGGGGTTGCCTGGGACGGACAAATACTATTGTGAGTGGAAATCAAGCGAAAAGCGAACAGATGACAAACCTAGGCTGCGTGAGACTGGATATTGCAGAAAAAAAACCACTGCTTGTAGATTTCGAAGACCCACTCATCATGACCGACATGACACTGCACTGTAAGTTGTTTCAGAGCCTACGTATACGATTCGTGACACTTGTTGATTGATCATATACTTATTCCCACATGGTACTATTATGGTAATAGTTCGGAGGTCCGCGATCACGTGATCAAAGTAAAGTCATCCAAGTCAGATGGCGGCCGTCTAAGTACCGTGACGTTCACTGGCATGTACTAAGCTCAGGTAAACACTAGTAAGTACCTCTATGGCTCTCAGGTACCGAAAAATTGATGATGCGACAATGACTTGGATAGCGGCCACCCGCACGCTTCAAGACTTGGAAGAGCTTGCTTGACTTCAACTTTGTTGTAACTTGTGCGGCCAGTACACTAATCCGAACTCGGAGGCATCCAGTCGCCGCCCGTCACGGTCTGGACCACTATTCCTATTCACGGTAGGTGACCATCACGTCTGGTTTGCGTCTGGTGGTACTAATAATACTACTACTACCGTGGCTATGATCATTCACTTGGAAGTTCCAAACAGATGATCGTACTATTGCCGCCGCATCATGATACGCGAGCCAGCGGAAGATGATAGAAGTTCTCTTACTACTTGGGCAAGTCATGGCGATGGCTGCCTCATCATGATTGCGGCAGTGCAAACAATGATAATGCACAAGTACGTGACATGATTCGGATGATTCGAGGAGATGCGGCTAGTGGAGATGCAACAGTCACGGTGAGTTTGCTATCCAATTCGGACATTCAGACTAAGTGACCGGTGGTACTACAATTTTAGTTAAATTTAGCCCTTGAATCATTGCCGCAATGATCGGTATGTTATACTATGTATTACTACTATTAAATATTAAAGGCGTACTAGCCGCAGGCTGGAGTGCAAGTTAGTCACGGTGGCGGTGTATTGGGCCCGGTAATTCGATGTCCTGCCAGCGAGTCAGAATGTTTTGCGCTATGCGATAAACCTTAACTGTTTGGTGTTTTTTTTGTCCCCGTTCAAGTCATAATCAATCATAGTGTCACACGGTGAACCGAGTCTGATGGACCCGATCGATGTTGAAGTTGATGGAAGATGCTACTATTACTAGTACGGTGCGATATTCATTTCGTTTAACTGATGTACTGACAGCGTCCTGCAGCGGCCAGGTAAATTGGATTCCAACACCACATTACCGCGAACCGCGACTGATCACCGTGCACTACTTGATTGGGAGGATTGTGATGCAGAAGCCCTTGATTGGGAAAAGTACGATTGGCGAGTGTATTCTAATACGTCTGCATAGACTTTTGTCACAGTGGTCGTGGTCAGAGTCGTGGTACCGTGACGACGGTTTTCGATGACTATTTAACTGAATGTCCACCTTCAAGTTTCCCCACTCTTCTCAGCAGTTATGTCTATCAATCCGATCCATTTCGACCTAGACCAGTCAGCAGCTGCTGACAGACGGCGAGCGGCGCCTTCTGAACGATCAACCCACCGTGACAGGCGCCCGGGCCATCCCTATCCTCGAGAAAGTGCTCCCGGTAGCACTATTTCCCGTACAAATTCTGAGTCCCAAATTTCCGACTACATCACATCCGGGCTGTTAGTATATGACGACCTTGACAGTATTCAGGGCGGTTCAGAAGGCAGAAAAAAAGGCAAACAGCGAGAGGTGCCGAAAGTAGAATATCCACCTACTGAACGTGCCGCTGTCGATTGGATGCGCAGCAAGCTCGAAATAGACATGATCACGGTTAAGGGCTGGTTATCGATGTCCACAGATGAAGAAAAGTTTGCGGTAGAGGTGTATCTTAGAGAAGTTGTGGCCCAAGCTAACCAGAAGTATCACTGCAGTATGTCATTTCGCATCCTGAGCCTGCACGCCGCATCACCAGCGACTGATTTCACAACCAGACGTCATTCTCACAGATGTTTTGTCCGCCAGTCTGCTTCAGTCGCTTTCGTCATGTCGTGGCAGGCTTGTCGATTCGTTCGAGCCCTATGCAGCGCTGTACGATATCAAGCCACCAGAAGATTCTCAGTTGTCCGCCTCTGCCCGCCAAGAATATATGAAAGAGCGTCGAAAAGTACTCTTTGACTCGTCGAAGGCAGGCCTCTTCACAAACTTCCTCCACGGTCACGAGATCACTGGTGATACCGTCGACCTTCTCATGTTCAGCAACGAAAATTTGATAGAGGGCCATATCCAAAAATGGTACAGGGACGCTAAATCGCCGCTTTGCGACGAGACTTTCAGTCGCAGCTTAACCACGACTCCAGTCACGCTGTTGGCGTGGTCAGCGGTTGCGGTGAGTAACACGCCATTCTCATGTGCATAGCTACTAATATTCTGTCCCGTATTATTTTTAGCTGCGAGCTTCAATTGACAAAATAGTCAATTCACGTGCTACTCGCTTCAGCAAGAACAAGTACGCAAGTTGGTACTTTGATATTGTAAAAGACATGGAGCGCACCTCCGCGCATCCAGTTCACGGGAAGCTGTTCAAAAGCCGTTTGTTCAAGCTCCACGTAAGAGGGATGTGAGTAATTGCTACGGCCTATGTGCGCACAGCATCTTAATTATGCATCTGCAGGGAGGCAGCGACGAAGTTCTTACAAGACAATCAGACTGCCGGAGTCGTCTATATACCCTCGTTACCATCGGAATTGTCTCAGCCTCTTGACTTGTTCAGGTCGAAGTTGAACTATCCTATCTCGCAATCTTCCACTGCGCCCGCGCCATTGCCAGTGCGCTCGGCAGGAGCTGAGTCATACTTGGAGATTTCTTCCCAGTTTTCACAAATACACACCTTCGCAGGAGGCTCCGAGTCACTGTTAATGCCCCCCTTCGCAGACTCGGATAACTCGCTCACAGGCCCTTCTTACTATTCACAACCCGGTGCCAGTTCGCAGTACCTCGGACACGAGATGAGGTTTGACTTAGCAGAGTCGACGCACCAACACGGGATGCGACAAGAGAACTATAACCCGCCCCTTCCCGTGCCTAGTCAGTCGCAGGAAGGTGACAATTGGTCCTATCACTTACAATACTGAGATGCCGTAGCTTTGTTTTTTTTTCGTTGGCTGTACTACTAGTCCTGCGGGCCCATTGGGGCCATTTCTCATACGATTTTCTCTTTTATTTATATACAGTGTTTAGCTGCAGTAGTCCCCAATTCCTCCTAGGAGGGCTTTGTACTTGTAGTAGCCACGGCTGCTGGCGCGACATGTGTCTCATTAGTAATCATAGTATGTTCACCTCTGACCGGTTCAGCTGACGTCTTACTCTACAGGTGTCATACACTCAAAAAGTAGCCCATCATTTGACACCACCGAAGTGGAGTGTCACGCACAGGCGATCAACCTAATAAAATAAGTCAAGTTGGATTGGAGTCTTGAAGTTTCGTGGGCCCCTGAATGGCGTCTAAGTCACGTGAGCCCCTTCAGTGACAAATTCCGTATTATACGGGCCACCCGACCTACATAATATCCCGTATGAGACGGGCCAGCGGATTATGGGCCCATGTTGTGTATATTCTCGATGATGACAGATGGGCCGGGACACATATTATTTCCGATGGAGACGGGTGGGCCCATGTATGCCAATGATATATATATCCTTGATGTTGACGGATGGGCCGGGGGAATATGATCATTCATGGAGATGGGTGGGCCCATCAGGGTAATATGTAGAGTAGGATATTATAGACAGCTGGGCTGAAGAGAGATGTAAGGCAAATATTGTTATATAGACGGGCGGGCCGACGGGGGTGTATTACATATATGGGTGGGCCGAGGTAGGGGAATATTACATAGATGGGTGGGCTGACACGGGGTGTATTACATATACAGGTGGGCCGACATAAAAAGTATTACATATACGGGTGGGCTGAGGGTGTGATAAAATATTTATTACATAGACAGGTGGGCCGAGGTGGGGTATAATTATATAGACGGGTGGGCCAACATAGGATGTATTACATAGACGGGTGGGCCGACGTGGGGGATAATACATAGATGGGTGGGCTGATGTGGGGGAATTGTACATAGATGGGTACATATATGGGTGAGCCTAGATATGTATAAATGTCAAATTTTCAGTGCAAAACCCCAAACCGAGATTTACCAACCCCCGAACCCCGAAATTGTGGACTGCCGGGTCTCGGGTTTCGGGGTTCGGGGGTCCCGGAACTCGGAACTCAGTATGTGAGACAACAAAAATATATTTCAAACACGGGTAAGTCAATGTGTTTGTCAATCAACTTGATTGTAAATTATATTTTATTGATCTCCCCAAATTTCCCAAGTTCCGAGTTCCGAGCTCCGGGACCCCCGAACCCCGAAACCCGGCAGTCCACAATTTCGGGGTTCGGGAGTTGGTAAAATGTGTATGGATAGATGAAAGGTTGATTTAAACATTTTTGAAAGATGTCCCATATGAAATGTTAAGTCCCGAGTTTTGAACTCCGGGTTTCGGGACTCCGGGTTTCGGGACTTCGGGCTTTGGGACTCGGCACTCCAGAAACCCGGAAATCGAAACTTGGGACTTGACATTTCATATGGGATATCTTTCAAAAATGTTTAAATTAACCTTTCATCTATCCATACACATTTTACCAACTCCCGAACCCCGAAATTGTGGACTGCCGGGTGTCGGGTTTCGGGGTTCGGGGGTCCCGGAGCTCGGAACTCGGAACTTGGGAAATTTGGGGAGATCAATAAAATATAATTTACAATCAAGTTGATTGACAAACACATTGACTTACCCGTGTTTGAAATATATTTTTGTTGTCTCACATACCGAGTTCCGAGTTCCGGGACCCCCGAACCCCAAAACCCGGGACCCGGCAGTCCACAATTTCGGGGTTCGGGAGTTGGTAAAATGTTTATGGATATATGAAAGGTTGATTCAAACATGTTTGAAAAATGTCTTTCATCTCAAAAATCGAGTCCCGAGTTCCGAATTAGTGCCGAAGCTTGAAACTTGAAATCAGTGGAAAATGAAATCTCGCAACAATGTACACATGAAGATGTTTTATTTCCTTTGACAATTCACCGAGTGTCTTGTACTAACCTGACAACACAGTCCCGGCTTCAGGCTTCAGGGCTCGGTACACGACACTCGGGGAATTGTGAAATTTCTATTTCCTTGGACATTTCACTGAGTTCCGAGGTCCGGGCGCCGAATTCCGAGTTCCGAGCGCCGAGTTTCGAGCTCCGAGTGCCGAGTGCCGAAGCTCAAAACTTGAAATCAGTGGAAAACGAAATCTTGCAACAATGTACACATGAAAATGTTTTATTTCCTTTGACAATTCACTGAGTGTCTTGTACTAACTCAGGGAATTGTGAAATTTCTATTTCCTTAGACATTTCACTGAGTTCTGAGTTCCGAGCGCCGAGTTCCGAGTTCCGAGTGCCGGATGCTGAGTGCTGAAGCTTGGAACTTGAAATCAGTGGAAAACAAAATCTCGTGACAATGTACACATGAAAATGTTTCATTTCCTTTGACAATTCACCGAGTGTCTTGTACTAACCTGACAACACAGTCCGGGCTTCAGGCTTTGGGTTTCGGGGCTCGGTACATGACACTCGGGGAATTGTTTATGGAAATGAAACATGTTCATGTGTACATTGTTGCGAGATTTCATTTTCCACCGATTTCAAGTTTCAAGCTTCGGCACTCAGCCACTGGTCGGTAGTCAATATAGGCAAATGGTAATGAAAAATGAAAGTTGTTATTACGCTTAACTTCCTTACCGAAGGTTGTAGTCCGAGTCTAGGGGAGTGTATTGGTAGTCTTTTCTTGTCCATCAGTTATCATTTAACCGAGATATAAGCTAAAGAAATCTGAAACATCGGCAATAATGAAAAATGAAAGTTATTATTATGTTTAAGTTCCTGAACAAAAGTTGTAGTCCGAGCCAAGGTGAGTGTATTGGTAGTTTTTTCTTGTCAATTGGTTATCTCGTTACTCGGTACTCGGTACAAGGGAATCAGTACTTGGTATTTGGTTCTGATACTTGATACCCGAGAATCAGTAGTGGGGTACTCGGTACTCGGTTCTGATACTTGGTACCCGAGAATCAGTAGTCAGGTACTCAGTACTTGGTTCTAATTCTCGGTACCTGTGAATCAATAGTTGGGTACTCCAGCCAATAGTCCCGAGTCCCGAGTACTGATACTTGGTATTCAGTAGTCAGGTTTGGAACTTGGGTCTTGGTTTGGTTATCATTTGACTGAGATATTGGTAGGCAATATTGGCACTCGGAGCTCGAATACTGACTATCAACTATCAAGTGTCGGGACTTGGTAATCGGTAGTTGAGACTTGGTGCTTGAATGGATATTGCATATATACATAAAAATACAAAATATGTTCCTATGTGTTCATTTCTAGGTGAATAGTATCTCAATCATCTATTCAACAATAGAAACAATGTATCAGGAGCTCAGGACCATAGGGTAATCCTTTATTGTATAGTGTACCTCCCCCTCTTCTGGTGGTTCACCTGCTGGGGTTTTTTCCCTGTAGGACTGGACCTCAAGGACTGTAGGGAGTCTATTCCTGAGCATATTCGGAGTAGATATATCATATAACCAGCCCAGGACACACAGGATCCTTTTCCAGGAACAAAGCATAGACAATTGCACTTGTGATATTTTTTCACGATTTTCAGTATCTTGCCCTTGCATCCATGATCCAACCTTTTAATATATAATGAGCATAGCTTATATTCTTGCTTCTTATGACCAAGATCAGCTCACAATAGGCTGGAGTTTGTGAGCTAGTGTGTATACTTGCCATTTCGCCTGATAAGGGGCCCATGCCTTCAAAACATTGAATCTTCATAATCAGAAACCTGGGGTACATTTCAAATATCTTAAGTATCATAGACATAAATTTACAGACAAATCAACCAAGAATTGAGTACTGAGGAAGTGAAATGGGTAAGAAATTGAGTGTGGGAAACTTCAAAGACCCAAAGCATCGAAAATGGTTAGTTGAGCAGTGGTAGGACTTTAATGCTGGGTCAACTCATATTTTCACTATATCCCTTCTACCCACCCCCTACCCTCAGGGCAGTAGGCAGTATGGGTTCCTTGGGTAGTTTACGATCTATCCTACATATTTGTAATGATATTTTTGGCCTGAATCATATATAAATGTGACTTTGTATAAAAGATGTCTATTGTCACTCTCCACACATATGTCATTTTGCCTATCATTACATCAATCCTTCATGAATCTTTCTAAGCTTTTAAGCTATTATAATGGATGTATATGGGTGTTATTCCAGGTCTCTGATCACATCACAGGCTTGTTATGTTGGATATCTCGACATAATGTGCAAGTCTCGCTATTAATATTCATTCTTTTATCTTTAGACTCACTTACTGCACACATGTATTTCATTTGTCATTATTGATGTTTCGGATTTCTTTAGCTTATATCTCGGTCACATGGTAACCAATGGACGAGAAAAGACTACAAATAAACTCACCTAGAGTCGGACTACAACCTTCATTAAGCTGACTACTGATTCCCGGGTACCGAGTATCAAAACCAAATACTGAGTACCAATTACCATGTACCGAGTACTGCGTAATGAGTAACAAGATAACCAATTGACAAGAAAAGACTATCACTACACTCACCTGGACTTGGACTACAACCTTCGGTAAGGAAGTTAAGCATAATAACAACTTTCATTTTTTCATTATTGCTGATGTTTTGCCGAATGACAAGGAAAGACTACCAAGACACTCACCTTGACGTGGACTACAACTGTCATTTTTCATTATCATTTGCCTATATTGACTACTGAGTCTCGAGTACCGACCACTGACCACCAATCACTGAGTACCGAGTACCGAGTGCTGACAAATACAATTCCCAAGTTATTTGAACCCTACACCAATGGATAATACATACAAATACAATTCGTGTCCATTTGAAGTACCGGGTTTCAGGTTTCGACACTCGACACTTGGTGATTTGTGCAATGAGTGAAAAATGGACATGTTGTGTACATGATTTTGGGTTTCAGGCTTCGGGTTTCGGCCCTCGGCACTCGGAACTCGATGATCTGTGTAATGTAAATGAACAATGAACATGTTGCACACCAGGTTTCGAGTTTTGGGTTTCAGCACTTGAAACTCAGTGATTTGTGCAACAAGTGAAAAATGGAAATGTTATATACATATTTTCGGGTCTCGGGCTTCGGGTTTCGGCACTTGGCACTTGGCACTTGGTTATTTGTGTGATATAAATGAAAAATCAACATGTTGCACACTGGGTTTCAAGTTTCACGCTTTGGCACTCGAAACTCGGTGATTTGTGCAGTGAGTGAAAAATGGACATGTTGTGTACATATTTTCGGGTCTCGGGCTTCGGGTCTCAGCCCTCGGCACTCGGAACTCGATGATTTGTGTGATATAAATGAAAAATCAACATGTTGCACACTGGGTTTTAAGTTTCACGCTTTGGCAGAACTCGAAGCTGTTGATTTAGATATCACCCGAAACCCGAACACCTGAATGTCAAATTTTCAGTGCCGAACCCCGAACCCCAAGTGCCGGTGCCGGGTGCCAAGTCCCGAAGCCCGGAACTCAGGATTTGACATTTGAGACGAATGAAAATTTTCAGACATGTTTGAATTAACCTACATATATCTATAAACATTTCACTAACCCCCGAACCCCGAAAGATATTTTTGTTGTCTTACATACCGAGTTCCGAGTTCCGGGACCCCCGAACCCCGAAACCCGGCAGTCCACAATTTCGGGGTTCGGGGGTTGGTAAAATGTGTATGGATATATGAAAGGTTGATTTAAAACCCCGAAATTGTGGACTGTGTGCAGTGAGCAAAAAATGGACATGTTGTGCACATATTTTCGGGGTTCGGGGTTCGGGTTTCGGCCCTCGGCCCTCGGAACTCAATGACTTGTGTAATATAATTGAAAAATGGACATGTTGCACACCGGGTTTCGAGTTTCAGGTTTTGGCACTCAAAACTCGGTGATTTGTGCAATAAGTGAAAAATGGACATGTTGCGCACATATTTTCGGGGTTCGGGGTTCGGGTCTCGGCCCTCGGCACTCGGAACTCGATGATTTGTGTAATGTAAATGAAAAATGGACATGTTGCATGCTGGGTTTCGAGTTTTGGGTTTCGGCACTCAAAACTCGGTGATTTGTGCAATGAGTGAAAAATGGACATGTTGTGTACATATTTTCGGGGTTCGGGTTTCGGCCCTCGGCCCTCGGAACTCAATGACTTGTGTAATATAATTGAAAAATGGACATGTTGCACACCCGGTTTTGAGTTTTGGGTTTTGGCACTTGAAACTCGGTGATTTGTGCAACAAGTGAAAAATGGACATGTTGCATACATATTTTCGGGGTTCGGGGTTCGGGTCTCGGCCCTCGGCACTCGGAACTCGATGATTTGTGTGATATAAATGAAAAATCAACATGTTGCACACTGGGTTTCAAGTTTCACGCTTTGGCACTCGAAACTCGGTGATTTGTGCAGTTAGTGAAAAATGGACATGTTGTGTACATATTTTCGGGTCTCAGGCTTCGGGTTTCGGCACTCGGCACTCGGAATTCGATGATCTGTGTAATGTAAATGAACAATGAACATATTGCACACCCGGTTTTGAGTTTCGGGTTTCGGCACTTGAAACTCAGTGATTTGTGCAACAAGTGAAAAATGGAAATGTTGCATACATATTTTCGGGTCTCGGGCTTCGGGTTTCGGCACTTGGCACTTGGCACTTGGTTATTTGTGTGATATAAATGAAAAATCAACATGTTGCACACTGGGTTTCAAGTTTCATGCTTTGGCACTCGAAACTCGGTGATTTGTGCAGTGAGTGAAAAATGGACATGTTGCGCACATATTTTTGGGGTCCGGGGTTTGGATTTCGTCCCTCGGAACTCGGAACTCGATGACTTGTGTAATATAATTGAACAATGGACATGATGCACACTGGGTTTTGAGTTTCGGGTTTCGGCACTCGAAACTCGGTGATATGTGCAATGAGTAAGAAATGGACATGTTCCATACATATTTTCGGGTTTCGGCGCTCAACACTCGGAACTCGATGATCTGTGTAATGTAAATGAACAATCGATGTGTTGCACACCGGGTTTTGAGTTTTGGGTTTCAGCACTCGAAACTCGGTGATTTGTGCAGTGAGTGAAAAATGGACATGTTGAACAATGGGTTTCAGGGTCTCGGGTTTGAAAAATAGCATAATAACAACTTTCATGTTTTCATTATCATTTGCCTATATTGACTACCGAGTCCGATAAGGGACCCCTTGGATGATCCATTGCTCAATGAAATACTACCTGATTGGAAGTGTGCTGGTTATCAGATATTCATTTGTCGACTCCCGGGTCCTGGAACTCAGAAGTCGGTACGGTTGACCCAAATTTGGGTGGTCGGAACTTGGTGTCTCGTAGGGCAACACAAGCTTTGCACCCCGGATTCCAAATTCTGCAAGACAACCTGTGCACCATCAAAGGCCATGTCAGGAGATCACCTGCTGCTCCAGGAACTCGGTAACTTTGATTTATTACCTCCTCTGATTTGGTTGATGTACAACTACCTCAGCTCCATCATGTCTACAATTATGATACACATGGGCCCACCCATCTATATTCTATACCACCCTCGGCCCACCCATCTAATACAACATCCCATACAACACCCTCGGCCCACCCGTCTAATTAATATGCGTCTGGGCCTACCCGTCTAATACAATATTTTATAATACCCTCAGCCCACCCGTCTAATTTAATATGTGTCTGGGCCCACCCGTGAATGTGATAACAAGTACCTACCCATCTATCTCATACACATCTACCTTAATACACCCATCTGCATAATATCCAACTACCTCGGCCCACCCGTCTACCTAATATTCATATACATCGGCCCACTCATCTACTCTATATATTCCCTGCATGGGCCCACCCGCCTCCATCGGGAATAATTTGCCTCCCGGCCCATCCGTCATAGTCGAGGATATTTTTATCATGGGCCCATGGTCCGCTGGCCCGTATCATACGGGATATTATGCATGTCCGTTCCCTCGTATTATACGGAGATAGGTCACTGTAATATGTGGTCACGTGGGGGTGGTTGAACATGCGAGACTCAGGCAATCGGAAGGGCAGACACCTGCAGACGCATGCCCGCAGTAGCGTGCAGTCTACCCAACAGGGACTACAAGTAAGGCCGGCGACACGCAACCTTGGTTTTACTGACAATGGAGTCTAGGAGGACAGTCCCCGATTTTTATCATGGAGGCTCGCCTTCGACACCTTACTATACAGCTCATCCATCTCCAACGGCCACTCCGGAGTCTCACTCTGACGATGAGCAGCAGCCAATAGCAGGTCCATCCAAGCTCACACTAGACTTGCCGGTCTTCTCTCTGGACTCGAATAATGTTCTCCAGCTCTTCGATGAGGAAGAAGAAGAAGAGCACTCAAATTTGCGCTTAAACATTAATTTTAATCTCTCATTAGATTTCAGTCAAGCTACGCTAGGACACTCTCGTCCGCCTTCACCAGCACCAACCGCAGACTTTAGCATGATCTCACCTCCAAGCAGTCCTTCCTATATTCAATATCGTTCTCAATTCCTTTCAGCACAGCAAGGGCGAAACACCCTTCCTTTCTTCTGGACATCTCCAACCCGCACTTCTACTCATTTACGAAGTCACAGCATAGCCTCGGGAGGCAGTACAAAATGCCGCGTACGTCCTAATATCACAAAGCTTTGGGAAAGCATCTCTTCTCCATCTCCTCGAGGCAGCAAGTCCTCGCCTATACTCAAACATCCATCGCCAACCCATAGGCACTTTCCTAGGTCATCCCCTAATATCTTGCGCGCAAAGCGCAAGACCAAACATCCTTCAGTATCAGGCGTCTTCTATTGTGAATCCAGGGTTCAGGGTAATACCAATGGAGATGTCCACGTAGACTACGGTGCATTAGACCCACTTGACGGTGAAGAAGGTGAACTCGTAGATCACGAAGGTTATTTTGATGCAATTCAATGCGATCTCACAGGTACGGATTCTTCAGATTTTTTTAATACAGAATTAACATTCAACATTTAGCGTCCCCATCGTCATATACACGGTCCGCATCACCCTCTCCCACCACCACCACCACCCCAACTTCATCTCACCTCTGTCTCTTTCGACCTCAAACTCCCTCCCAAGCCTACACCCTCTGCCCAACATCATACACATCAGCCTCCACCTCTACGTTCACTTCCGCGCAATACCTACCCCCCACTAAATTATCCCTCCCCCTTCCCCCAGAACTCATCCTACACATTTTCTCCCTCCTCCCGATGTGTTCAGTCTTAGCCTGTATGCTCGTATCTCACTCTTTCTACACCCTAGCCAAAGATACAAGCGTCTGGCTCGGTGTGTGGAGAGGAAGAGAAGGCTGTCCAAGAGTCCGATCCCGCGCACCTTATCAAAGCCCATACAACCATTCCTATACACACAACTTTGCGTACGGGCTCGGGTCTTCAGTGAATTACATGTCTTCTTATTCATTCCCACAAAATTCCTTACCCAGCTCGTCCTCCTCTTCTTCTCAAGGCGATTCGGATTCGGATATCTTGTCGCTGCGTTATGCCCACGCAGATGAAGGTGTATATGGATTCTCGCTTTTGGAGGACTCCGAAGATGTGGAGGGAGATGGGCCTAGTGGCTGGGCTGTAGATTGGGATCGAGTCAAGGCATTGCGGCACAGCGGACGCTCCAGGGGCATTTTTATAGATGAAGAAATTCATGCTAACCGACCATCGATTTACATCCCTTATGCAGATCCGATCTTAAGAAGAGGCACGAATTCAGGACCTCTCCGGCTTAACTGGCACACCCTCTACCGCTCTTGTGCCACACTCGAAAGGCGGTGGCGAGATCCGCGCAGTGAGCCACGGGTGATGCGAATTGAAGGGCACGGTGACAGGTGAGTTATATCTCCTCTCCTCTGCGTTTGAGTTTGAGTTTGAAATTTAATGACTGATCGACCCCCATAGCGTCTACTGCCTCGACTTTGACTCACGACGGATCATTACAGGATCTAGGGACAGGACCATCAAAGTGTGGTGTATCCGCACTGGCGAGTGTCTTGCGACATTTGAGGCTCACTTGGGGAGTGTGCTTTGTTTAAAGTTTGCAAAGGACTTTGATGCGAAGCGATCTTGCTCGCGCCGGTCTTTTTCTCGCGGGCCTATTAATAGTGAAGAAGAGGAGGGTGGTGCCAACGAGGATGCGAATGAGGGGGAAGAGGAGGAATCGCATGGAATGATGGTATCCGGTTCTTCTGATTGCACAGTACGCGTCTGGGACCTATACGCAAAACATCGTGGTTCGGGAATACAGGCTGATGTATGTGTGATTCTGCGTGGCCATTCTGGGGGTGTATTGGATTTGAGGATGGATGAGAATTGGATCGTTAGCTGGTAAGTTTCCCCTTCTAGCCATATCTGATCCTCCCGATATCACATGTCGTCATCCAAACCGACGCTAACACCCTCCTTACTCAGCTCCAAAGACGCACTGATCAACGTCTACTCCCGATCTACACTCACTTTACACGCCATCCTACAAGGCCATGAAGGACCCGTGAACGCTATCGGACTCGAAGGCGGGAGAGTAGTGAGTGCCGGTGGGGATGGTCGAATGATGTTGTGGGATGCTGCTAGTGGGAGATGTGAACGGGTGTTTGAGGGGCATGAGAGGGGGTTGGCTTGTATTGAGTTTAAGGTGTGTTTCTTCTATTTTTCTTTCCCGCGTCCCGAAGTGTAGTCATCGTTGGTCATCGGTCATCGGTCATCGGTCGTTGGCAATCAATCAATCAATTATACCTTTTACTGATACAACTCGACTAGGACGACCTAATCCTAAGCGGTTCAAACGACTGCACTATCAAGCTCTGGCGCGCATCTACAGGAGAGTGTCTGCACACTTTTGCTGGTCATATGTTGTTGGTCTGCGCATTGTGTTTTGATCCGAAGACTGGGTATGTGGTTAGTGCGAGTTATGATAGGAGCGTTAGGGTTTGGGAGTGGAGGGAACCTGCTGTAGATGTTGATTCTTTCATTTCGCACTCTTCTTCCTCATCAAACTCTTCCTCGTCGTCATTCCACTCGACACACACCAGTACTTCAACACATACCAGCAACTCAACACATGCCAGAACCTCGATCTACGCATCCGACACAGACGGAGCAAGCGTAGTAGGCGTCGCGGACGGCGTCGTCGGGTATAGAAATTCGGGTATGAGCGAGAAGAGGGGTGTTGGGAAGTTGGTGAGAGAGTTTAGGGATTTGCATGCAAGCCATATTTTTGATGTTAAGTTTGATGTGGGGAGGATCGTTAGGTGAGTGTTTTTTGGGGTATTGGGTCGGGCTTTGACAGTTGGCTGGGCTTTTGATCGTTGATGTCCTCGGTGTTTCCTTTGTTCCACCAGAACAGACTGACTACCATTGGTTGCTCTTGAGATGGCAGCAAACTATATGGCAACACGAGACGTCATACCTCTTATTGACGTGAGGACTGCGCCGCAAGTGATATAAATACACCAGCCTGAGAGGGTGCACTCGGGCTGGACTCGGACTCGAGTTGTTACTAGGTATATATTCAAGTTGGAAGGCGGCAGACTCGGAGTTGGACTACATGTGTACTATGTCACGGTGAGCTGCAATGTGCGTTCTGGGAAATCAAGTTGATGGTTAGTATATCATGATTCAGCCTTCTCTATTTCGAAACAGCGTCTAGGATTTCCAGCCGACCATCACCAGTACTTTTCTGGGTTACAGGTTGAACCAGTTAACTTCAAGGAGGATTTTTTTCTGATGACCGAACTCGAGAAGCAATGTCTATCGTTGTTTCCAAAGGCATTGGTGACATATCACAAGTAAGTTCTTCATGGGAGATCATGTCCTCATCCTCTGCAAGTCACTAACCGTCGCTATTAGCTTCGGGATCGTGGACCTCCTTCTGACGTCAGGCATCTCACAAGAGGGTGTTGATGTTCGACGCAGGTCGCGAAATTTATGGTCGCTCCCTTGGGAGGTCATATTCTCATCCTCTCCAAGTTACTAACCTTCACTCTTACTAGTTTCGACACGGTGGTTCCTCCTGATGTGGCATTGTTGATCCATCTAGTTTGACTGTCGGCTTCTGTCCCACTTTCACTTGTAGTACATGGAGTTCGAGATATGTTTGAACCTTTTTCCGATCGTAAGATATCCTTTCCTTTATATGGCCAAACATGACAATGGGATCCTCGATAGCATAATTATGGACGTTCTTGTGTTAATGGGAGTCTAGTATGTGACAAGCTACTAGATGCGGCAGACGAGGCTGCTGCTCACGTTACCGCAAAAGTGTGCCGCATAATAACCCTTTCAAACTACTATAGTAGTACTCGTTCTCATCATTTTAGTGCCAACCTGAGTCCTATTTGGTAGCTGCTGTTTGTTAGCAACCTACCGGAAAGTGCAATGCGCTTTGCCGCAGAGTCTCTTTGGATCGCCTTTCTCTCAAGCTTGCTTTTGTTAATGGTGTCTTGCGGGGCTTCACGGTGTTCGTGGGAGAGGGCAACAGACGCCCGTGGACTGAGCAGGCATCATGCTAGTTGTCACTTCTACAAAAAGTCCAGTGTCCTTGCAAGTCAGAGGAGACTGGAACGGGCAAAGGAGGCGGTTTTTACCCACTCGACTACAACCTCCATTCACCGGCAGGCAGGCAGTTCTACTGGTAACCGTGACTCGGACCTGTCCAAGTCTGTGAACAATTTACATGTGAGTTGTCCTTCTGACCTAGTTTGTAATCTTTCATCATGCAGACTTCAGAGACTCGGCCGTCCGAGACCAATCGCCCCTTGCTGGTCACTGGCAAAGCAAAAGCCAGGGTCTGCGTCTCACGGTTCATCTGAGTCCAACCTGACTTGAAGCCTCGCCGACTCGCAATACTGCTCCGTAGAGATTCCACGACATCATGCTGATGTTGACGCTGAGATGGACAGTGATATCAATGACGGAAATGGAGTTGACTTCGAAGATTTTCAAGGTAGTTCGTATTTCTTCGGGTATCGGCCGTCTACTATTACATTTCTGATTGTTGGACTGTTTTAGAGCAAGTGCGTCCTAGGAGACGAATTCCGAGACACTTGGACGACATCGAGCCCTCAGAGGAGGATCTTAATTACTCCGATAACAACGGTCAAAGCCCTACTCAAGATTCGGCTGCACTTCCAGCTCGATCCAGGATCCGACGTGTTCTTTTAACGCTAAGGGACACATTACAGACAACCTATAACTCCTTTGGTCTCTGTCGAGTATATCCTCGACGCCCTTCCTTCGAGCCAAATAAGTTCGTTCCCTCCTCGTTACTGGCGCAAACATGTCCGGCAGCTGCTCAAGGAAGCGATTCTCCACCGGAGGTCTTTGCACCACCATTCCCTTTCGCTAATATGACCCTCTATCGACTTATGTCCTGGATGAATACTGGTAGTAATCGGGTATCGGAAACCAAGGTCACAGCCCTTGTCAATGACGTGATGCTAGCAGACGATTTCGACCCCGAGCATCTTAAGGGATTCTCGGTGAAACAGAACCTACGAGAGCTGGATGCGGATAAGAGTGGGAAGAGGATCACTTTTCCAGATGATTGGATCGAAACTGACATCACCATTGACATCCCCGTCAGGTCAAAGGAGGAGGGACCTAGGCCTCATACTATTCCCGGGTTTCATTATCGCCCACTTGTTGAAGTTGTGCGTGTGGCGTTTTCGGATGCCCAGGCGGCGGCATTCCATCTCTTTCCTTTTAAACACATTTGGAAGGATCCTCTTGACCATCATGAAGAGAGAGTATACGATGAACTCTATACATCTGACGCCTGGCTGGAGGCTCAGGAGAGTCTCCACAAGTCACCGAAGGAAATTGGATGCTCATTAGAACGTGTCATTGCAGGCTTCATGCTTTTTTCGGATGCTACTCACCTGGCGAATTTTGGAACCGCCAAGGCCTGGCCGCTCTATGTCTACTTCGGAAATCTAACAAAATATGTACGCTCGTCGCCTACATCAGGATCATGTCATCTTGTAGGCTTTTTACCTTTGGTGAGCTTCTTTGTTGTACATTTATGGACTGCCATTGACAGTAGCTGCCCTTGTTAGCTTCCGGATAGTATTAAAGATGTTCTGAGTACCTTGCCTCGCATCTCAAAAAGCGGCATGGCCTCCCTTCACACCCATTGCCGCAGGGAGTTGTTTCATGCATGCTGGGACATCTTACTGGATGAAGACTTCCTTTACGCATATCGACACGGCATCGTTTTGAAATGCGCCGATGGAATCATGCGGCGAGTATTTCCTCGAATCTTCACATATTCAGCTGACTATCCTGAGAAGTAAGTTTTTTCATCATCTTCGTAGCACGTTAGCTGAGTGATACATGTTCAGGGCTTTAATTGCGACAATCAAGGATATGGGCTTGTGTCCGTGCCCTCGCTGCCTGACACCCAAAGGCTTATTCAATCGTCTTGGTCTCGTGAGGGACATGAAAAGCCGCATAAATGACTTACGAGTATATGCCATGGTGAAGGTTGTCAAAGCGCGCCAGTTTATCTATGGATTAGGGAATACTGTGGACGGTACAAAAGTCGAAGATGCCCTTGGAGAAGGCTCGTGGGTCGCTATTCTGGTGCGTAATGTATTTCGTACCACTTTACAATTGATTTAAATCGGCGCTCGCAGAATCGATTCACAGAGAAGCTTGGACCACTGGGCCTTGACCCATTTCGTATGCTCGTTGTCGACCTCATGCACGAGTGCGAACTGGGAACATGGAAGGCGTTATTTACACACCTGATGAGGCTTCTTTATTCCCTTCCTGAGGGTATTCAACTCATCGCAATTTTTGATAGCCGGTACATGTTTTTTGTGCGGATTCCAGTCATGTGCTAACGAATTCCAATCTTACTAGATTTCGCCAGGTCCCGACGTTTGGTAATGGCGTCATCCGAAAGTTTGCGAATAACACATCCGAGATGAAAAGGTTAGCAGCTCGTGATTTCGAAGATATCTTACAGGTTTTTGTCTTAATTGTCTGTTGCGTTGGGCTCGCTAACAGGTTCCCAGTGTGCTATTCCGGTCTTTGAAGGCCTGTTCCCCCCCCGGCCACGACGTGGCTGTGCAATCCCTCCTGTATCAATTCGCACAGTGGCATGCTCTCGCGAAGCTCAGGATCCACACAGACTCGACACTACTTTTTTTCGAAGAAACGTTCAAGAAACTCTCCAGGAAGTTGCGGAATTTTCGGGACTACACCTGCGCTGCTTTCAAGACTGTGGAGCTACCAAAGGAGGCATCAGCTCGCCAAAGACGATCTACCCAGCGCTCTGAAACCAACACCGGCTCTACGGAATCAACTGGGGCGAGAGTAAAGAAATTGAATTTGAACACATATAAGTTTCACGCCATGGGCGATTATATGAGAACTATCAGGATATTTGGAACGACAGATTCATTTACTACACAAATTGTGCGTATCAAATACATTCTCACTAGTATGCACCTGAAACATCCTTTGACAGGGGGAGCTTGCACACCGCGCTCTAAAGGCATTCTATCCATTGACAAGTAAGTTAGACACCCCCGCACAGTTAGCCAAGCACGAGCGCAGGCGCCGTGTACTCCGGCGGGTGGCAGAAGCAGGGGGAATATCCTCTTCTATCAGTCAGCCACCTATTGACACTCCCTCCTCCGGAAAGCATCACCACATTGCAACTAGTCGGAATCACCCGCTCCCCCTATTTACGTTTCTTCGAGAACATAATAATGATCCAGCTCTCAAGGTAGAAGTGATATCGCATCTTCAACGCACCTTACTCACGACAATTATCAGAAATTTATACCGAAATTAAAGGACCACATTCTCTATAGACTGCGCAAGCTAGATGTTAGTTATTGCGACTTCACCTTCTCAGACGAGGAGCGCCGGTCGGTCATTATTCCAAATGACACAATTTATTCGGTCCAAACGATGCAAGTCCATTATACTACGTACGACATCAGGCGAGAGTACGACACTATCAACCCTAGGACGCACAGCGACGTCATGGTGCTTTCAGGAGAGACGATGCCTAACCACCCGTACTGGTACGCCCGTGTATTGGGCATATACCATATGGACACATGGCTCAATGAGGGAGCTCAACCTGTGAAAGAGCGTCTCGAGGTCCTCTGGGTTAGATGGCTGGCTCCAATCCAGAATCATAAATCTGGTGTGAATCATGCTCGCCTTCCCAAGGTTGCCTTCGTCGAGGAGTCAGACGTAGATGCATTCGGGTTTCTCGATCCAGGGCAAGTCATTCGAGGGGCCCACTTGATTCCAGCCTTTAATTCTCAACGTGGTGTAAGCTCGCTTCGCCATGGGAGATCATTAGCACGTCCTGGTGGTGAACTAGATGATTGGGAAGCATATTATGTCGGCATGTGAGTAAAAATATCAGTTCTGGTGCTATGTACTCATTTACTTTTCAGATTTGTGGATCGCGACATGTTCATTCGTTATACACACTTTGGTGTTGGCCATCCAGCGATGCTGCGGAGGATAGCCAGAGACTGCGAATCCGTGGCACTCGGAGGTGTTGTGGGCGGTGTGACCAGTACTAACGAGACAGACTCGGACATGGGCCATGACGAGAACGGTCACCATGACACGGAGGATGACGAGGATGACTCGGGCTCGGACTCGGACTCGGGGGAAATAAGTGATGAAGAGTTTAGTGACGAGGATCTGGAGCTTGACCATGTTGAAGACATTGATGGAGATGAGGCCGAGGACGAGTTCGATGACCTTCTGTCTTTTTAGATTTGCGCTATTCAATTTAGTAGTAACCCTCCATTTTTCGACACTCTCAAATTCCGTTAGTACTTCCGAGTCTGTACTAGCACATCATAACTGTTTCAGAAATGAGAAGGGTCCATAGTACCATTAGGATCGGTAGCTCGGGGATAAATGACATTACTATCATAGTAGTGTAGTACATTTTGATCACCTAACTTTCCTCCACTGAGAGTACGATCGGGAAAAGGTCTCAAACTCCAGGCTTAGTAAGTAAAGTCGGACTCGGAGCAAAAGCCGACTGTCAAATTTGAACGGTACCTTCCGATTCGGTCGGACGACGAGGACTTGGAATTGGATATGTTCTCCCAGGTGGGCGACTGTAAATTTTGTGACCTGCTTCGAACCTCAAGACCATCATCTTGTGAAATGCTTGAGAAATGAAGATCCACAGTTTCAAAGTTAAGAGTGAGAAAGGTCGGTACCTTGCGGACTCGGAGTACGAGAATAGTGACACTGCCGCAGTCACTGGCACTAGGCAACCGTACATTTCGCAACCTGTGTCGAACCTCCCCTGTAAAATGCCTGACATCGGAAGGAGTCATGAATGTTCACAGTTTCGAAACCAAGTGGCAAGAGTGCTAGTGAAGGTCGGTCACCATCCCGACGACGATCGCGGTGAGTCCCGGGTGGTCAACTTGAGTTATCATGATGCAATTTATTGTTTGTTGTTATTTGTCTTCCTGCACCGTCAGGACGATCAACGGTGGTGTACACTGCGTCTTACTCAGTGTCTGCTGGCATATCCCATGATCTACTCGGGCTTTTACCACTAGCAAGTGAAGCTTGTTCTTATTATTTGTGGCTGGATTTGCAAGTTCTCTGTTGTCTCTATTGCGCTCTGAGATGATGATTGGCGACAACCTTGTAAGATTTTTACAATTCAGCTACCTTTACTGACCATCTTCCTATATGAATACAGATTTGTATTTCTTCAGTCACCTCTTGATCATCTACTAGACCTGTCACTGTCACAGTGGCCGCAGTTTCAAAGAGGCACCAATCAATTGGGAGGATTATCATGCAGGGACCTTTCAACTGGAGCATTTATGGGTTCTTTGTTGCAAAGGATACAATATTACTATGCGGGCAATATCTTCAGTATACATTTCACAATTCATGTACCATCTCATTACTGACCAATTTCATTTTTCTTGCTAGATGAATACAGATTTGCACTTTCTTCAGTTACCTCTTGATCGCCCAGATCTGCCACTGTGACAGTGGCGGGTTCACAGGGACACCATTTGATCGGGAAGATTGTAATGCAGAGAGTTTTGAACTGAAGCATTTATGGGTGCTTCATTGCAAAGGATACAATTGTATTACTACGCAGGAAATATCTGCAGTACGCCCTCAAGTTTCAATGCACTCGTGATCCCTTATCATGGCCTGTAATTTGGTAAGTTTCCGTATCGTTGATGGTTGGTCATGGAAGTTACTGATTATCATGGCGACTATTTGACCCATCCTATAGATGGTGACAAGCTGAAGAGACCTTTTGGCCGCTTACAGCTATCACCTTTATTTATGAAACATCACCTAACCCGCATCCAATCTCAGGCGTTTGTATAGTTGGCAGGGGGATCTGGTACACAGCAGGTACGCAGAATCTATACAGAGTCCAGCTCTTCGCTCACAAGTTATTGATATCACAATATGGTCCTAACATTTGGTAGCAGCGTCATCGGGATGAAGAATCCTTCTTAATCTGTTTCTAGCTATAGACAGGCTGGGCTGAGCCTGGTTCCGTTCATGTTTTCTCTCTTCACCTCCTTTTCACACTTCCGGAATCATAATTCCTGCAAGTCTTCTTCATGTTAACTTGGCTTTTAATTACCATCATCACCTCTTGTAAGTCGGTTCAAATACCTACCTCTTCTAAGTCTGACTTTCGCTTATAGCCTCCTGGCGGCATCCTATCTCTAGTACCCTGGTCTGGCATTATTTGACACGCATAGTACATGTCTAATTTTGCCAGTACTTACCGTCGTCAACCCACCAGTCCTTTCGTAGTCGCTCTGGAGTCAGTGCTACCACACTCTATTTCTCAGTCAAACAGGAACACTTCCTATGGTTTAGGTTCAAACACCATTTCCATACCTTTCGTTCGGTGACTGTCACTCGTCATCTCAAGCGCAATTCAGATTGTGACAAGGAGCTACATCGCGTAAAACAATATCAGCGTCTTCTTTGAAGAGACTTCGCGATGACGACATCGATCGTGACTATTTGGATCAGGACAGGGACTTCTACCGTGGGTATAGTGACGCAGAGCCTCTTTGTGAGGCCTTCGTATGACACTCTTCGGATCCTCGGCCTGCTTCGCCTGATACTTATTTTGACAGTGGCTATAAGCCTGAACAAGAAAGAAGTCACAGAAGTCATAGTCGACAACGTTTCGAGAGGACGACAGCACAAAGGTTCCCTCTCTGACTCATCGGGTCTCATCCCCGGTCTCCTTGCAGCATCAAACTCTTCCCTCAGTCCCTCCTTGCGAAGGCATAGCAATTTGACATGGGAGAAACAAGTTGCTTCCACGCCGTCTTCCAGTATGCATATCCCTATCCCCATTGTTGCGTCTGCCACGCTGGCAGACGTTGTCAATCCTCGCAAGCAGTCCAATGTGATGCCTCCCACGGCATGGTCTTCTCAGAGTATATGTTCCCGCAGGCTTTCACCCAGCGTTCACATTCCCATCTGTCCAGTTGAATCCGGTCAGAGTTCTCGCTCGGCCTCCCGGTCTAGATCCCCACTTCCGTCGGCTGCAATACACAGTAACTTTTCCGAGGCCATTCCTCTGCCTTCTTTCATCAATCGCTGCTCTTCCCGCATATTACTGGATGATCCTATTGATCCCATCATGACCGCGTTTTACGACCTCATTGCTGTAGCAACAGATGTCACTGATATGATATCAACAGCCTCACTCACAGCCCAGCCTAAAGTTTGCGAGTCACTCGTTCAACGGGTACATAGTATTGGTAAGGCATGGGATGGGCATCCGGATTGGCATGGGCGGAACTGCTACTCACCTGACGAATTTTGGAACCGCCAAGGCCTGGCCACTCTATGTACGCTCGTCGCCTACATCAGGATCATGTCATCTTGTAGGCTTTTTACCTTCGGTGAGCTTCTTTGTTGTACATTTATGGACTGCCATTGACAGTAGCTGCCCTTGTTAGCTTCCGGATAGTATTAAAGATGTTCTGAGTACCTTGCCTCGCATCTCAAAAAGTGGCATGGCCTCCCTTCACACCCATTGCTGCAGGGAGTTGTTTCATGCATGCTGGGACATCTTACTGGATGAAGACTTCCTTTACGCATATCGACACGGCATCGTTTTGAAATGCGCCGATGGAATCATGCGGCGAGTATTTCCTCGAATCTTCACATATTCAGCTGACTATCCTGTCATGCCACCAATCAATCTAAAGAACTACTGTCGTTCGAGCCTACTCCCATGGCTTCCGAGTCTCCTATATTGATCGCTACCCCAGATGCCAGTCGCGCCTCCGTTTCTGCTCCTGTACCTCAGTTTACTCCTCCGGCATGGCAAATCATCAACAAGATGCCCACAAGGTCGTCCACGCCATCATCTATATCTTCGCCTCTTGCTTTAGTTGCCCCAATCACGGTATCACCATCTCCCGACGATCAGCCTCCATACATGGACCTCAACGATAGTCTACCAGGGAATGCTACCGTTAGAACACGACGATCGGCCAGCAACCTTCTGGAACCGCGGCTTTTGGTCACCCCACCCCTGTCACTCAGCATATCCCTTCGAAATGCACCCACTGCTACACGACGTGGGCATCGCTGTCATTCTACAGTAATTTCATAATTAGTCCTTCAGTATCAAATGTCCCTCTATCTCCTCGCCAATCGTCTGCAGCTCCTTTATCATGATCAACTCCGACTTCTATCAAAGACTTTGATATCATCAAGCCTATCAGCAAAGGAACCTTTGGATCTGTCTTTCTTGCGAAGAAGGCGATTGGAGACTATTATGCTATTATGCTATGAAGGTTCTCAAAAAGGCCGATATGATTGCGAAGAACCAAATCACGAATGACAAGGCGAAGCGCATGATTCTTATGAAGCAGGCCGAGTCGCTGTTCGTTGCCAAATTGTACTTCACATTCCAGAGCAAGGAAAACTTGTATCTAGTTATGGAGTATCTAAATGGTGGCGATTGTGCCGCTCTTATCAAGTCTTTGGGCTCGCTGCCCAAAGAATGGACGAAGTAATACATTGCTGAAGTTGTGCTGGGGCTTGAGTATTTCCACCAGTGTGGCGTTGTTCACCAGTAAGTTCTACAAAATATGCAGAAGTCGCATGCTTATCATTTTTCAGTGACTTGGAGCCTGACAACCTTCTCATCGACCAGCACGGTCACTTGAAGCTCACCGATTTCGGTTTGAGAAGGATTGGTCTCCTTGGTCGTCAAACGTGCGAACCCATGGACATGGGTATGCGACATCGCACAATATATGATTCACGTTCGCGACCACCTTCCGACTTTCTTTCATCACTCTTACTTTCAAGCGAAATGGTTGGTGGAGGTTCGTATTCTAACCAGGGAACACATCCGGTGCCACGACAAGGAATTTCGCCTTATCAGATGATGCAAGCGAATCCGGTCCCGAATCTATATACAATCATCATTCACGCCAAAGCAGGGCTGGTGAAAGTCGTCTGCAATTGTTTGCTACGAAACTGACCACCGACTTGCGCTCATACTACTTGGGTGGTCACACACCCCCGAGGGAGCAGAAGTTTGTTGGGATGCCCGGCGTAGATTACTGATCTACACTACTCAATAACGTTTTGCCAGGTTCTACCATCAGCTTCATTCCTCCCGATCCTATCATAACGCTGTGGGCTGACTCGTCAATATTTAATCAATGACTGGGCCAGACAATTCACACCAGCTTCCCGCTTATACTATGAACAATGTGAGTCTGAGCTCTGTATTACTTGGTGCTTACCATTGGTTAGATCGACAGAGCGAATATTACGTATGTTATGCATCTTCATACTCGTTTTATATGTTTCTCATGTTATCCACAGTAGCGCACGGTTGGCAGGTTTTGAGGAAGACCTGCATCTACAGGGGAGTCAGTATGGGACGCTCTTGTCTATTATCTATGTGGGATTCATTATCATGCAAGTGCCAGCGTAAGTTGCATCCTTCGTTGAGGGAAATTTCATTGTGATTTTTATTTAGGAATATGTTTTTGCACTGGCTAGAGAGACCTGCCTCGTCGACGGGGCAAAGTTCGAGTCAGTTCGATACGCCTCGTCTATCGGTTCACTTGATTGCCTTGAATAAAGGGCCTAATCCCACCGACCGTGTGGTGACATGTCTACTCGCCGAGGACAATCCAATAGCCGCTAAAATACTGGAGATACTTCTCATCCGTCTTGGTTGCGGATGGGTCAGAGGCCACAAGCGTTGCCATGGGTGATATCAGTAAGTACTCTTGGCGCCCGCGTCGTGGTTCTATGGTCTAATTTCTCATAGAATTTGAATGTACCCTCATGGATTCACACATGCCAGTCGGTACGTAATACGCTCAGTCCAGTGTGCCTGTTTCCTAACGTTTGTCGCGACTTGTAGTTGATAGTGAGGGTGCTGCTCGATACATCAAGACAACCAATGGTAGGAATTCCAACACACCTATGGTTGCTGTTAGCGCCTATAACGTTGCAGACACTAACGATAACAGCTTATTCACCGCCTCGCTCACTAAATCCGTGCAGAGGGCTGATCTTCTGGCCGTCATGCGGAGACTTGGATTCAAGACCTCGGCTGTATGAAGCCTTTCCGCAAAAGTTACTGCATCTCGTGTATCATGACCCTTTTACGCTCTCGCGTTTCACGTCTAACGAGTGCAAGGGTCCCAGCGACCGAAATCCTACTTTTTCAAGCTCAGACTGCAAATACAGTGGTTTATGAGCCTATCAAGATGTGCTCGTTATCAAAGGCAACATTTATCATGTTTGCAGTTGTCGATGTGTCCCTAGTTCACAACGATCGTGTAAGGGAGGTCGGCACAATTTATTCGTAGAGCTTGGTGTTTGACTGTCGATGACGGCAAAAGTCCTTGGAAGCATGCGGTTCAAGTCGTACGTGCGCAGGCTATAGGTTATGCGATTGACACTTGTTAGATATTGACTCTAACTAGTAATCAATTTCTCGTTACTAATCCATCCTTTGGAACACAGGTCTAGGTATTGAACGGTCAACTTTCGAAAAACGAAGATGGGACATCTAGGATAAATCGATGTGGATCGGTAAGTTTGGGTTCGTCAGTCGTCACACGACGCACGTCTCACCTGATGTCCTCAACTGCCCTTACTCACGCCTTGCACCACACCTTGAACCTTCCCTTCAGTTGTTTCCAACATCCCAACGGCACCTCCGTTTCACCCGCGATCTCCACCTCCGGCTGACTTGGGGACCTCAATCTTCGCTCTCGCCCCAGACATATTCCTGGTGAGTCAGAGCGTTGAATGTGTCGCGCATGCCGCTAATATTCATTCAGCAACGATCGACGAGCAAAGAAACGGCGCTCACCGCATACACTGGACTTATGTTGTACCGTGTCACTCGTACTGATAGATTTATCTTGATCATGATATCGTAGGATGTCTTTTACAAGGGAAACTTGATGTTTTTGGAGAGTACCGTGACTGTCACACCCTTACAAATACAGTCACAGTGGTAACTTCTTTCCTTCTCGGATTGTTGCTGTCGTTGTTCAGCCTATTTCTCACTGACGGTAGCGGGAGGGATCAACGAGCACGGCCCTTTTGTCACTATCTGTTCAATCAAGGACCTGTCAAGTGCTATCCCGTAAGTCTGCACGTGTTTTAGATTCTGAAGCCAGACGCTGATTAATGTCAGGTTTTTTCAGCATTCACTGCTCCCAGCGTTCAGTGTTCCGGTAATTCTTGCTCGTTGTTCTTGTATGCGGCAACTCACAGATCACTCAGCGTTCTCTGAAATAAACCCTGTTTATCATATTGTCGAAGCGCTTAGCACTGCGCAACACACTTGGTGATGGAAGGTATATATTTCATTTCTCTCTTTTTGTTGATCCAGTATCTCACCTTTACCAGTTTCGAGACATACGGAAGCTGCGGGATGTCACAAGATCTCCGTGCCCAGTCCATTTCACGATGTCAACATCCCATAACCTCACCACACCATCTTTGCTCCCACTCGCTGAGTTCTTCCCATCCGGAGACAATGCTATGGTGTGCAAATGACTCTCTACGTCCCACCAGTCATTCCCTATCTACTCTCCGCTCTCCAAGTTCCATACTCGCAGCGAGCCGTCGATCGAACAAGTGATGATCTGCTCTCCGTCGGGCCGTTGTATTACGTTGGTGACAGGTTTGGTATGTTCTTCAAATTTCTGGTGGGGCATTATCGTTGATGTCTCTGTACTCTTCATGTCTGATGAAGATGATTTTGAAGTCGGTTGCAATGACACAGAGACCTTTCGTGCCACCTGGGGCGCAACTGATAGCCCCGCTTGCAGCAGCCGTGTTTGAGAATTCCCGCAGTGCACCCCCATCCATTGCGCCTGCATCCTCCACTGTCTCTCAACGGCAAACTATGCATTCCCCTGCGCAGACTACACCTTTTTCACTAGCCGCTCCCGTGTTTAACTCGCAAGGCAGAGTAACATACGAGGCTTCGCGCACTTCCTCATTTGATTCGTCACGGTCTGCTTATGAAGGCGGTCCCAATCAATGACCGCCGTTCGAGAATTCAAGGGGAGCATATGAGGCTTTATGAGCAACCAGATCAGCAGGGATACGAAAGCTCACGAACAGCGTATGAGTCTCCACTGCAGCGCACTGCTTATCCATCCGGTTATGACGGTCAGAGCGCGACATCTAGCGCTTTCCAGGAACCATATCCACCTGCTGGACAATATAGCAGTCAGCCAACTACTTCTAGTCAATACCAGCATCCGTCTTCATCTCACCAATAATACCTTTCATCATCACTAATTACTCATTTATGTTGAAGTTTTCATGTTAATGATATTGTCCTCTCCGCATTACATGCACGCTTCTCGGTTGTCATCTTATGGTTTTGTGGCATGACGACTTAAAGTACGAGAGGATCTAATATGATAACAAAAGAGACTGATTTTTCATTCGCTCGGGAGCAACCTTCCCGGCTATACTTTGGACGCAAACTCATTTTGATTTGATGGAGGCAGAACCTCGAAGAAATGCGCAAAGTAAAACCGTACTAGTGAGTCGATATGACTGGCGGGTATATTCATCATCCTAAGTCATCTGGGTGCGAGCTACTGCAAGTTGTTGTGATTTTCATGCGTTCGGGGGTTCGAACGCGTTCTGAACTCGAACCGAACGCTTGTGAACGCGTTCGCAAGGGTCCGGTCCAATGTTCGCCCTCCTTGCCCGAACCGGACCATAGGTCCGGTTCGGGGTTCTCGCAGAGCGCACATCTCGCCTATGTCACAACGACGCACAAAATGAGCTTTGGTTAGTTAGCATGAAACTTGGCCAAAAGGGTTTCTAAGGTTGGTCGCCCACCTCGCAATACTTGATGATGCTGCCACTTATCCTATATGTCACCCTCTCTGAACTACTAGGCAATAGCTGGTCGCTCAACACTATAAAACCAGGGTCTTTGATTCGTATTATGGATGGCATACCCCTAGCTGTAGCATTAGTGAACTGTGAAAAATAGCTTTGTAATTCACCACTTGAATTGGGTAATATGAAAATGTTCAACCAGGCTTACTGGGGTACCCTGTCATCTCTTCCCAGCTGTGATGGCTCAACAATAGCACATTATTGAAAATTCCCCTGTAGATACAGTTTGATGACCATTGCCAAACCTGCTTTCCATGAGATAGTCTTAAATAGTCTTTTAATTGAAAACTTGAATAAGGGGAAACAACAATGCTCGACAAGGTGAACACGCCGACGATATCATCCCTTAATGGCCGTGGTGTTGCAAAGTTGTGATCTCGTCACGAAATTCTAGATGTTGTCTAGACTCGGAGACTTGCATGGCCATATAGCAACATTACAAATTTCTCGCACTATAAATGCCCATACCTAGCGATAGCACAAATAAATCCTTCTATAGGCTCTACGGGTACAATATCAAGGACTCCTCAATTCACTGATGGCTCAGCGGGAGTGTGATCAACACTAATATAGTGACATTTAGGGGAACTCAAAGTTACGTTGAACGCCCAACCTCGTGACCAAAAAGAGTACAGTGATCAACCGGACCATTGTACACCAAATTGGAAAGTCTTAAATTTTGACTCAATTGTGCAGGTATGGTATATTCTGTCTGGTACATTTTAAAGTATATGGTCTCATCATTGACTGGTTGAATTTTTTGCTTTTTTTATCAAGTGGTTGGCGAGCATTGGCCTGTACAACTGGCAGTGTACTTTCACACATTCCCGGCTCATTTGTACACACCCTGTTACTATATTTGGATTATATGTCGCACTATGTTACTATTGTCACACTGCCCTTATGTTGGGACAACTTCGAAAAAAAAACAAGATAACTCACAATCCACCATGAATGTGCACACTACATGCTTTCAGCATGACATTTCCGACACTTTATTTCATTGCAGACATAAGGATTGGAGAAAACTGTGTGATGTTACACCCGTTTTAAGGCTAAATCATTTCATATCCATGATTCTTGGCCACTATCACCACCTTTCTACATTTTTCACTCTTTGAAATAATACAAAAATTAGTGTAGCTTACAGAGTGATAACAATAGAGTATGATGTGCTAATTCTTTTGGCACATTGATGCAGAATTGAGTGAGGAATAATGATTGTACAGATGACCAGTGGTGTACACAGGACTGGTTGATCACTGTATACCTAGAATAAATAGAAGTAAATACAAAGTAAACCCGAATAAATAAACTTATATAAGCAAGTCTTGTCAATAAGCATTAATTCACTAAAGGTGATCAATACACTACAGCCATGGCTCATACAAGTCTACAGTGTGTTGCATATGACATTGCAGTACATGTTTTTCAAAACTTGGCCTCGCTACCTTTACCGGCACCTTTATATTGGACTCTGAGAGATCTGATGAGTAGGTGGCTGAGAGATCCGATATCGGAACAATGAGGAGAGGTGACAGTTCGAGCGCATACCAAAAGAGCAGAGCAAGCGACACTTCACATCGGCTCATAAATTTTCAATATATTGCTAAATTTTCATTCCTGTTTCATCTGCAGTTAAAGCAGTTCACATTTTGTAGGAACATCTCAGTCCATTTTCAAGAGACTGAGATGTGAGTACATAGTTCTACCTAACATTTACAAAACTAACAAGACCTGAATACTTTGCTGTTCTAGGTACATACAATGTTAGAGTCCATTTTCAAGAGACTGAGATATACTTTGCTGTTATAGCTCTCCTCTGTTGTGTCTGCTGTTGTTTGAACTCTACACTTTACACCCTAATTAGGTCAAGGGATGTGACATGTCACTCTAGCCAGGGCCTGCCACTTGATGAAACATAACCTCAAGTCAGTTCATTATGGGGCCATTCACTAGCTAGAAAATGTGCCAAAATATCCTATTCTGGCGGTTTGAACAGCACAGGACACATCATTGTAGGTTTACAACTCAGAGTGGTGCTATAGGCTCCAAACTGATATCTTTATGTGGTAGGTCATCCAACACCTAGTCTGCTATACTTGCGGGACAAGTGCATTCGACCCTAAAGAGGAAGCTAGTGCAGCAAAGGTTTAGAAATGAGCACAGAAGGTGCTGCTTAGCAGCAGGTGCACATATGGGAATGAAGCGGCGGCTGAAAGCTGAAGGCATGGGAAGAATGCGGCTGCAAAGCGGCTGATGCACAAGTGGTTTGGATGATAATAGAAATAGATGTAGAGTGGAATGATAACAGACATGGTGTGGGCGGTAAATGGCAACAGATTGCCAATAGCTACCAACTGTAGGCTAATGGGAGTTGCTACTGGAACATCTGCAAAACAAGCTACTCTAATGATATGTACTGCTAGTATTTAAGTATTGCGCTAAGCACTGTCATGTGGAACCGAGCCGACACGCTACTGAGTTAGGTATGTAAAGCTATATGTAAATAAGGGTCTATGATGAAATAAAGGTGGTGCAATGCAGAAATGGTCTGATATGTAAATATAATCATGGAATAATGTACCATTGGGTTGGTTTTGGACTATGGATGGATGTGAAACATTGGCTGATGAAGCACAAGCAAAGCGTGGCTGTGTGCGTATGCAGGAACACTGTGGCCATCATGGAAAAGTAGCAGCTGCTAAGCGCGGCTCGTGGAAAAGCTGCACTTCATATAGTAAAACAATAGGATGCTGAGGAACACTGCAAACATAGCCTCTATGAGGCTGTAATGACTTCCAGTCCTTACAGCTAGTGATGTTTCAGCCTGGCTTCAGACAGCTCTGGCCTGCAAAAAATCCAAGCCAGGCCAAAGCCGCAAATGACAGCTAGATTTGGCCCAGCTCTGGCCTGAGCTGCAGCTCAAGAAGGGAATTTGTGATTCTGACAAGTGAGCATGAGCAGGTCGCTGTGAAACCAGGATTCACCACATGACCCACCTACACACTTCAGAATGTAGTTTTGACCTGCATTCCCATGGATGATACCGAATGAGTCACCATAGACAAGGAGGCCTGTGTCTCAAGGAGTGTGAGTGAGATCTTGGACAACAGCATTTGGCTGGAGATATGGAAAGAGTGTCAGAAGTCATATACAATGTGAACTAGGGAGGGAATCTTCAATAATAAATCATGGCAGTCGAGAGTGGCAGTGTCATATCCCGCATTCCGGACCAACATCTGACGACGTTCCCACGCCTCATCCGGACCTCCGGACCTCCTGTCCATGTCTCCAGACCCAATCCTCTATCCGTCCGGATCCCTGTACTCCTGCATCTGATATCCGGATGCCAGATCTGATATCCACATCTCCGGATCTCCGGATCCGACCTATCTGTCATGTCCGAACCCAAACCTTAAATCAGCGCCCATCCCCTTATGGTAATCACCTGTCTCCGGACTTCCGAACATCCGGATCCGACCCACGTCTATCTTCCTTGCGTTCCGGACCCGGACCTATCACGCATTCATCTCCGGACATCCGGATCCGACTCGCATCTATCTTCCGTGCCTTATCCCTTTGTATGTTCCTTCTTGAGTTAGACTTCCTCATTTTCCGTACCTCATTTCATCTCCGAGTTCATTTCCTATGATCCGTCTTATTTTCTAATACATTTCCACATGCTCGTACATAGCCTTACCCCTCTGCTTACTGATCTGCACAGACTTGCCTCTAGTATATAAACCCCAGTAGATACTCCTGTATTTCCTCAGTCTGAATAGCATACACATATTAGTCCTCGCACTAGTCTTCACACTGAGTCCTCGTAACAGTTCTATTCCTCCGACTTAGTAATCATCCATCTCAGGCCTAGGGAGGAATTCCCTAGGCCGGAGCTCCGCTCCTCCGCTCCTCCGCTCCTCCACTCATCCAATCCTCCATTCCTCCGAGTTTCCGGAAGTTCCTCCGGAACTTTCCCGCGGTCATCCGGACCTATTCTGCTTCGGACTTTGTCCTTGCAGCCTTTCCTCTGTTTCCTTCTACTCAGGACTCGTCCTGAGTAGCCATTATACATATCCCCGTCAGGACGAAACTCCATCGTAATTTCCGGAAGTTCCTCCGGAACTTTCCCGCACTCATCCGGAAGTTTCTCGCACTCGTCCGGAAAGTCCTTCCGAAGTTTCCCACACTTCTCCGGAAGTCCTTCGGACTTCACTGGACTTTCTCCGGACTTCATTCTGAAGTTAAGGGCACATACTCGGGTAAGGGGCGCAGCGCACGAGCTGAAGCCAAGCCCCTTGGAATCAGTCCTACCCTTTGTGCACGGTCTTAACAGGCAGTGAAATAGTTGGTGGCTTCT